CTTGTCATATTTTCATCATTTTTTTTAAATATTAATTGAACGTGAATTTCAATTTTTTAAGTTAATAGTATATATACGAATTAAAATAAATTATTTCTTTTCTCTTAGATAAAATTTCCAATTTAAAAAGATAGTATTTTATTTTTATAATATATTTAAATTTTTAATTTTAATCTTGTGTGGCGCTTTAAAATAATAATCTTATATGGTATAATCCTATATATAACCCTCTAAGAATATTAATCCTACATGACGCTCTAATAATTTTTTAAAATTAAAAATCCTAGGTGCCTATCTAATATATATATATATATATATTAGATTCTTGGTTGGAAATTGGAATTGTTTTATGTTTTGTGGGCCATCTTGGTTATACTATGTTAATGAGACGGCCCAAAAATGGTTGATTAGATTCGTTCTAGTCGCACGTCGCCTTGTGAAATTCAATCACGAAAATATTGATTTAAGGTTGTTTTAATTAAAGAGAAGTGGGGGGTGAAATGGATAACTTCGGCATTTATGAATCAACAATTATTAAAGACGGTTAAAATGAGATGTTCTAACAAATTTATTTTTGGCGTGATTAAATTTAATTGTAAATTTACTAAATACAATTACGTTGTAATAAATTTAAATTAAATTATTAAAACGTACTTGTATTTATTATATTACAATTTTTTAATTAATCAATTCAAATTTAATTTACTACAATGTACTTGTATTTGGTAAATTTACAGTGAAATTAATTAAATTTACTACAATGTACTTGTATTTAGTAAATTTACAATGAAATTAATTAAATTTATTACAATGTACTTGTATTTAATAAATACTGCTAAATTTAATCACGTCAAATTTAAATTTACTATTTAGTAAATTTATAGTTAAATTTATCACGTCCAAAATGAATTTATAAGAACATCTCATTTTAACTGTCTTTGATAATATTGTTGATTCATAAATGTCGTAGTTATCCATTTCAATTAATTAATTGTTCTGTACGAATTATATTATTATGCCATGCCAAATAAATGATTACTTTTTTTTTTTTTGAATAGTAAAATAAATGATTACTTAATACAAGTATATCATGTAAAATGATTTTTTTTTATTTTTTTATTTTTTTTTGTTGAGAACCACAAGGGCAAGTAATGAGAATCGATCTTAAGATCCTAAAGTTGGGAGGAAAGCTTTAACCAACTGAGCAATCCTATACTCTCACGTACTTCAAAGTTCAAATAAATAATGACGGTTCAATCTTGGGTCTGACTTTATTTAATTTTCTTACTTTAATTTAAGCGTGTTTTCCATTGATCTTTCTACATTTGTTTAATTTTTCTTATGCTGATATATATCTTTATAAGTGTTCACCCAATAAAATAATCGATCTTTCTACTTTAAGTGTTCACCATAAATGAACGCCTTAGGGACCCAAAAGCATGTTTAATATATAACAATTAATACTAAAATAATAACCGCTAACATTATCCCTTCCCTAAGTGTATACATGTCAAGTTATAATAGAAAATTTTTCCGCCTAAAATATATGTGATGTCATCAATTTTTTTTTTTTAATACTTTTGTTATTTGATAAACTTTTGGTCAGATATTTCACTCCGATCCATTTTTATTTGTATTAATACTCCAATTACTACCCCTTTTTTTTTTTAAATGCATAATGTATTTTTTTTTTTCCTTTGTAATTTGAAATTTTAGTACTCGTTTACTTCAGTATAATTAATTTTAAAGGCACTGTTTACTTCGGCATAATTTTGTTGAGCTGAAATTTATTTTACTAAACTGAAATTATTTTTGCCGAACTTAAATTATTTTTGCTGAACTTAAATTATTTTTATTGAAGTGAAATTAATTTTACTAAACTACAATTATTTTTACTGATTATAATTTTACTAAAGTGAACTTATTTTTACTGAACTGAAATTAATTTTACTGAGTATTATTTTTTAAAGGTAAACTAGGGCCTTAGTCTAATAACTTCGCAACTGTGACAATACACCAAATTTTTTTTTGGGAAATTCCCATTGATACACTCCAGGTATTGACTTTTCTCAGCGGTACCACATTTTTTTTTGACTTCCTGCTGATACACTTGAGGTTTTGACTTTATAATTGACGTGATTAAGTCTGTTAATAAGACGTTAATAACTTAGTAATTCTAGGTTAAAAGCTGAGATTAGGTGAAAAGACTAAAATGCCCCCTTTTAATCCTTCCCTCCATCACCCATAATTAAACCCCTTCCCCTTCCATTTATGTCGATTTGACACAAAACAAACTCCTTGTTCAAATTTCATCTCTCTCTCCTCTGCTCTCTGCATCATTCACGACGAAGTCCAAGGGTTTTGCAAGGGAATTGCGCTGATCTTTTTGGTCTACAAAATCATTAGAGGATAATCTAGCACAATTCAGGTACTTTAGCACTACTACTGTTCATTTTTGCATGATTTGGTGCAGTTGTGATGTTCTTTTTTCTTTGCGATTTTAAGTTAAATTCATGATGTAAATGTTGTATATTTGTGCGATTTTAGGGTTTTTTTCAGGTATATTAGGTGCGTGATTATGTGTGTTCAATTATTTATGTAGAGTATGTATTTAATTTGGATGAAATGGCATGATCCTGTTTCATTGATTTACTTGAATTGGAATGTATTTGCTTATTTGATTGATTGTTGGATACCTGAATTGGGATTTATGTGCATGTTATAGGTAATTGGATACCTGATTTGGAATTTATTTGAATGTTGTGGATTGTTGGATATGATTTTGAATTTATATGCATGTTGTAAGTGTGTATACTGTTTACCTTCTTTTGCAGAATAGGTGATGTGTTAAGGTTTTATTACTTTGATAAGCATGTTGATCTTGCTGTTGACTTAGATAGATGTAATTTGCTTGATTTGGTTATGGATTTTAAGGACACTACTGCAGTAGACTCTGAGTTTCCTATAGTCAACCCATCATTTGGTTATGGTTTCAATGAAAAGAATCACCCTTTACTAGATGATGCTGATCTTTTTAAGATGATTCACACCCTAGGTGAGTGTGAGATTTATCACATTTGGGTAGGTTTTGCTAAGAAACCAAGTGCCTTGAATAGAATGACCAATAGGCTAAGGAACAAGTCCAAATCTGCACAACCTTTTGCTGCACCTTCCCAATCTGAACCACCCCATATTGATCAACCTTCTGATACTGCACCCTCAAATGAACAACCCCCTCAAATTGAAACAGATCAACTTGTTCTTGAAACTGAACCTCCCCTTTTTGACCCTTCCCAAACTGAACCTCCCCTTTCTATTGAGGATATCAACCTTAATAATGAGTCCTCTCCACCTAGGTATACTGAGGGTTATGAGTCACCCCAAGATGAAACAAATCAATCTGCTGCTGAGTATACCAAGGGTAGAAAAGAGTTTGAGAAAAGTATGGAAAAGATAGAGAATTCTAGGAAGGTTAAGGGTGCAGCAAAGGGTAAGAAGAAAGATACAACTAAAACATCCCCAATGCAACCACCATCTCCCAAGTCTCCAAACACATTCTTCAAGGGTTTACCACTTAGAAGGAGTCCTAGATTTTCACCTTTGGCAGTAACTGACACACATAATGCTTCTGATGCTGACCCATTGACAAATGCTTCACAAACAACTATGTTTAGGAAAAAGGTTCCTAGATCAACAGCTATAAGAAAGGGGTTAGTGAAAGGATCAACTGTGACTGAGAAAAGGATGCTAGGTGTTGGTGACAGAGTGAGTCAGCTGCAAGGATCAGTTTCTAGGGTTAATGTAAATATGAGTGAGGGCAGTAGTGATGGGGACAATGTGGGTGAGGTGCAAGGCACAAGTGATTCTAGAGTTAGAAGAAAGATGCCTTTTGTTGTAGACAGCTCTGAGTCTGTAGAGACACAACCCAATCCTGGTTTCAATCTTGGTGAAGAAGATGAGGATTCTGATGGAGATGTTGCACCAAAGGGTTCTATTCCAGCAGATGAGCTAGCACAAGTAACTAGGATTCCAAAAGTGAAGGACAGTTGGAAACCATCAAAATGGTTTGATTTTTTGATGATGAAGATGATGAGGATTATTTTCAGAGATTGTACAAGAATGGTGAGATGTATGAGGATGCTGACTTTGGTAAAATAACACTCAGACCTTGGATGATTTTTACTGACAAGGCTCACTTCAAGGACACTCTGAAAGATTTTGCTGTTCAAGAAAGGTTTGCCATCAATGTAGAGTATGCTGACAACAAGAGATACAGTGCAGTTTGCCAATCTGAATGCTGTGATTGGAGATTGCATGCCAGCAGACTGGCAGATGGCAGAACATGGGCAATCAAGAAAATATGGCCCAATATACACACTTGCAGGGGCTTAGAGACTTACAACCCCATCTGCAATGTGAAATGGGCATCTCAGAAAGTCATGGAAGACATCAGGGCTAACCCAGACATTCCTGGGAAATCACTCAATGAACTCCTTTTTCAGAGATATGGCATCTACATGAGGCAGTCAACCTTGTACAGGTTAAAGAGATATGTGATTGAGCAGTTGTTTGGAGGGCATGATGAGTCATATAGACTACTGCCAATGTATGCTAAGATGTGCATAGAAACGAACCCAGAGTCCAAGGCTTTTTGTGCATGGAATGAAACAGAGTCTATCCCTAAACAACTTCAATTTTCAAGCCTTTTTATATCATTCACTGGACAATGGAAAGGTCTTTTAAGGGGTGTTAGACCTTTAATTGGTGCAGATGGAACCCACCTCAAAGGTAACTATGGGGGGGTATTGCTCTCTGCTGTGGGAATAGATGGCAATAATGAGATCTTCCCCATAGCATATGCTGTAGTTGGCCAAGAAGACAAGCAGTCATAGACCTACTTCTTTTGGCATTTGCTGAACATTGTAAAAGATTCATCAAGAGAGCATTAGACTATTATTTCTTATAGACAAAAGGCAAGTGTTTGTTGCTTTTTTCAAATTTTCATTCTCTTTTTTTTTTATATGCAAACATACAAATGCTCATGCTGTAATCATTGTTTCAGGGAGTTGAACTTGCACTAGAACAAGTATGGCCAAAAGCTGACAGGAGGTTCTGCTGTAGGCATCTAAGTAGAAACTACAAGAAGCTATTTCCAGGCCCTATGATGTATGTTCTATTCTGGAGAGCATGCAATGCTTCTTCAGCTTTCACATTCAGGAAAGCTATGGAGAAGTTGCAAAAAGCAGGAGGAGATGATGTCATGACTTGGTTTGCAGAATTGGGAGAGAAGTCTAAGTGGAGTAAGCATGCATTTGACCCAAATGTTTGCAATGACTCCAATACATCCAATTTTGTAGAGAGCTTCAACTCTACTCTAGGGGTGAATAGGTGTAGGCCTATTTTGACTTTGCTAGAAGGTATTAACCCACCTCTTACTGTATTAACATTGTCATTTTATTCTGATTTGGTTTGTTTTTCTAAGTAAGATAATGTTGTGCAGGAATAAGGAGGGTATGTATGGTTAGAATAGCAACAAGAATGGAGAATGCAAAGTCTTGGAATGATGAAGACATAACTCCAAAAATTGTGAAGCTAGTGAAAGAAATAGGAAAAGCTAGCTCAAAATGGAGAGTATTCAAGTCCAGCCCAGGTGAATATGAAATTCATGAGGGAAGATCACAATTTCCTCTCAGCTTAAACAAGAAAGTTTGTTCTTGTGGGGCATGGCAACTGACAGGTGTGCCTTGTAGGCATGCCATTAGGGCTTGCATTGATGCCAAGTTGGACCCACATGACTTTGTCAGTTCCTGGTACTCTGTGAAGACTTATAAGCAAGCTTACAGTGTCTGTATCAACCCAATTCCTGACACAGAGCAATGGCCTGCAGATGAGTCAGGTAGAATCATCATGCCTCCTAAGATGAAGAGGGGAATTGGAAGACCAAGCAGGAACAGAAAGAGGGAAGAAGGTGAGGAGCAACCTGGAAAAAGGTCAAAAACAGTGAAATGCAGCAAATGTGGTTGCTTTGGGCATAATAAGACAACCTGCAAGGGAGGCTTAACAGGAAAAGAGTTGAAGACAAATGAGCCTGTTGTCATCAAGAACCCTAGGGTCAGAGACCAAAGTAATGCAGCAAAGGCAGCTAAGCAATCTGAAGCACTTGGATCTCAGTCTGCAGCAACTCAACCTTCAGCATCTCAAGCAGCAACTTCAACCAAAAAAACTAAGGGAAAGAAGGGCAGACCCTCAGCTGAGCAACAAACAGTGCTGACAGCGTCACAGTTGCCTAGCCAACCAATCCAGATGTCTCAAGGAAACTCTCAAAGCTAGCAAGTGTTCTGTTTTGCAAAGTAGTAGCAAATGCTTTTTTTGGTGATTTGGATAGAAAGTCAAAATTTGTAGTCAACTCTATATGTTTTGAATTTTTTTGCTGAACTTACATGGTAATGTTAAAGAATTATGCCATTTTGTCTATATTAAGAATGGTGGCCACATTTTGAATGATTTTCCAGACTTTAATGAATGTTGGCAACTGATGCCATTTTGTTCAGCTTGTTAATTTTAGTTGATCTCAATGATTGATTCATTCAAAACCAAGAAAATACAACCTTACTCAATCAAAATGCAAATTATTTTTCCATTTTCATTCAAAACCAAGAAAATACAACCTTACTTTTATAATTTGTTCCTAGTACACTTAGTCTCTGAAGTACATGGCAACTAAATACACAATGCTCATTTCAGGGTTACAAACAGTAAAATAAGATACATCACAAGAGCAATTCTAACAACCATATAAACATAGCTTGCAAACTCATATGCTTTGTCTGTGAAATCAATAAATTCCTCTCTTAATACTCTCAAATTGGATGATTCTTCATGATTGGCTATAATTTGATCTTCAGGAACCCACATGAACAAACCACAATGCCTGCACTTGTAATATGACCTCCCTGGATTCGAAATTGAGTCAGACACCCTAATATCAGCAAGTCTTGGTGGATTACAATTGCATTGAATTCGTCTCACCCACATGGACCTCCCAAATCTGCTGCCAGAAGAGGAACCACTGCCTGCAGAACCAGCCATGTCAGAACAGCAGGGACCAACAGAAATAAAAAGAAAAGAAGAAGAGGTGAGCTCGAAAAAATGGAGGGGAAATTTTATGGAGAATAGAAGAGGGAAAGTGGGGTTTTATAGGGAGAGAATAAGGGTTGGGAAGTTGGAGGGAAATAACAGCAACATTAAGGGGGAAATTTTGGAGGGAAATGATTAAAAAAATGGGGGTATATTAGTCATTTCATCTATTACTAAGCCTAAAATGTGAATAAAATAAGTTATTAACGTCTTATTAATAGACTTAATCACGTCAATTATAAAGTCAAAACCTCAAGTGTATCAGCAGGAAGTCAAAAAAAAATGTGGTACCGCTGAGAAAAGTCAATACCTGGAGTGTATCAATGGGAATTTCCCTTTTTTTTGTCAAAATCGTGTATCACACAAGACTAATCTAGTTTTTCATTAATTAAGCGTTCACCCAATAAAATCTAGTCAAAAGGTGAACGCTTAGAGTCAAAATTTCAAATTTAAACGTTCATGTATTCGTATAATATATTTTATTATAATTAACTGGTATTGGGTCACGTATTCGTGTAACGTATTTTATTATAATTAGTTGGTGAATGTAGATAGTAATGTCTAAGGAATTGGAATAATAGAAAATGTCTTTAATACTTTTGTTACATAAATTTTGAAAAGTTGATTAATGTTTACTCCCTTTGCCTCTTTAAAATTTTCCTCAATTTTTAGTTTATAAATGTGTACTAGTGGTTTTTACAATTTCTTATAATACATGATTGGAGATATTTTAATTTTTTAAACAACTTTAGATATTTTAATTAAAATAGTGCAAAAGGCAAATAAGACAAATAAATAGTATAGGTAGTAATCCCTAGATATGGAAAAAATCACCATAAAAAAGGAAAGAATCCGCAAACATGGAATGAAATCATGGAAAACCTTTAAAATGAAAAACACATCTAAATTTCATTTATTTCCTTAAACATAGAAAAGTAAAGATAGGATCATGATCAAGAATTACTAGGATAATATCATGTGATATGTGAAATGAATCAACTCAAGCCTTTAAAAATCTGTAGTAGTATAATGAAGAGGATTCTTGTATTTAATTGATTCACACCTTAACAGATTCATTAGGATATATATACCATATATGAGTATAGAACAATAATTTTTCTTGTCAATAAATACTTGATTTTGACCCCTCTTCCTCACACCAAAATACAGTCCACCAAACAGAGTTCAGAGTAAAAAATTTGAAAGCCACCATGGAAGCAAAATTATGTCAAGCCTCCTTTCGAGCCAATTTGGGTTTCTTGGGTCAGCAGTACTACCCCCGAAGAAATGCACATTGGACAAGGGGAAGACAATTGCTTATGAGGCACTCGAGAGAAATGGCTTTAAGCCAGAGCTGAACTCCCCTGAAATACCAACCCTTTCCTTGGCCATAACACCAGGAAATTATCCTCAGGAGAAAGCCATGTTTAAGCAATTATCCCCAGAGGGTGATGCCAAACCAGAGATACCAAAGAAAAAGCAAGAGTCAGGGCTACCTTTCAATTTATATTCATACCCCAACAAAGGTGAAAAAGGAGAATCTTCCAAACACCCCTCTGGTTTTGTTTGGCCTCCTGCCCCTCCACCTCCAACTCAAAATCCCATAGTCTGCAAGTTCTGTTACAAGGAATTGCCGACTACACAGGCGCTTGGTGGCCACCAAAGAGCACACAAGCAAGAGAGGGAGATGGAGCGCGCAATGAAAGAAGCACAGGGAAATGCTGAAAATCCAATCCCTTATCATAGTTATGAACGTGCAAGGGTACCTCTATCTCAGGGTCCCTATTATGGACAACAAATCAAGTATCCTTTTTACCATGGATATGACCACAGTGGATGGCAGCCAAGGCATAACCCTGAAATGGATCTTAACCAGGATCCATCCGAATTTTCTCATGCCCTAGATGGGTTCATGAGGCCATCCTCTATGATGCAGGCCGTTGATCCTGCATACGAACCTGGGTGGCCAAGGCCTTGTGTCAATGCTCCAAATCCCATACTAAGCCCCAGAGTGGCCACAACCTTTGATCCTTCTGCTGCTCCAAACATGACAACTTTTTCGCAGGCAAGGCAGAATGAAGAAGGCCTTGCAAAGAAACAGTGTGTGGAATCAACATGGCTCACCTTGTCCTTTGAGAACAAGCGAAAAAAAACATCAGAACTTGATCTCACCCTAAAACTTTGATGGACATGAATTTCAGCCATATTCTCTAGTTGTATGTTTAGGCATACCAATTTTCCTACCGGTGATGTTGTCAGTAAAAATTTAGTTTGCTAAGATGTATGCCAAATAATCTTAAATTCAAAATACATGTAGCCATGCGGCCCAATTAGTGTTGTTACTTTGAGTCTACAAAATTTGATGGACAATTATTTAAGCCATTTCCCCCTTTATTTATTGAACAAACATATACTCAATTGTATGTTTAGGCATACCAAATTATCCACAGGCGATGTCTAAATTAAACTTTAGTTTGCTAAGATGTAAGCCAAATTATCTTAGAATTAATACATGTACCCATGCGGCCATGCAGCCCATTAGTGTTATTACTTTGAGTCCACTTAAAATTGCAATCTCCATTTCTGAGCTAAAGAGGATATCAAACTTATCCTTCTACACGTCAGCGGATCAAAATGGATACACATGTGATACATAACACCCAAAATCATATATTAACTTCAAGAAAAGATTATATTAATACTTCCTCCGTTATTTCTTACTTGACCCGTTTCATTTATCACGTTTACCAATGCATGGTTTTAACCTTCAACAACTTTTTTTCTCAATAAGTAAAAATTAGAAATTGTGATAATATTTAATGAGACAATTTTAACAAGATAATATCCTTTTTCTTACATATAACTCATAAAAGACGGTCAAATGAGCGGATATGAACAATGCAAAAGTCAAAGTAGGTGAAGTAAAAAAAAATCAAATGAAGTACTTAATAGTCCCCAATAATCCCCCATTCACCAAATCAAGATATGAGATAGAGATAAATAATAAGGAAACAATCATAAAGGCACCACGTCACATTGTCACAAGTGACGGTTTGAGAAAATGTAATAGACACAATTATAACAATAATGCATCTTAAAGTCAAGTCAAAGGACATGCTATCTCAGGATTAGCTATGTAATTAAAGACTGGATCTTTGATGAAATTAAAATTCATTATTAAATCATTTATTTTGACCGTGATTACCAAAGGAAACAATCACCTCCAACTTAATAGACTTGTGAATGCTACACACACTAGCAAAAAGGTTGCAACACGTCATGGTCCTATTGTATTATTAAATTAATACCAAACATCTCATACGATGATGTTAAATTGCTCAACACTAGTATAATAATATTTGAATCTTCTTTTAACTTAATCACCTCAACTTTCCCTCAAAAATAAAAATAGATAATAAGATAAATAAAAAAAAATCACCTTGACTTCAAAGACATGTGAATATCACACAATAGTAAATGGTTCTAACTAGTCATGATCCTATAATATCAAATAAAGATTAGGGTAGAATTGTTCCAAATTAAATGTTCTTTTGACTTTATTTCTAAGTCTAACATATTAGCCTTGAATTGGATACTAAGATCCTGATCTTATATGAGCAATGCTTTGTGAATCTTGTTAAGATGGGGTTCGAGGAGGTCTAGATGTACATTGCCTCCCTCTAAGCACTTCAAACTATTTGAGAGGTTTATCTAAGCAACCCACATAAAAATCTTTATTTATAGCCAGCTTGAACAAGAGATCCTTCTTTTCAATTAAATGTTAAGGCTATTTCTATGCTGCATGACAACATAAAAAACTTTATACCTAGGGGGTTTCAAAGTCTACAGTTTTGAAAGTAAGAAAAAGTTCAAGACCTAGATGTTTAATCTACCTAGTCCACTGAATGATAAAAAAAAAATATGGGCATGATTACATGGGTTCATCATAATAAATAAACTGTTGTTACCAAATCTATATTATTACAAGAAAGTAGTGCTATTTGTTAATGTTTCTTGAAAATATGAGAGTAAAAAGCCAAGTTAGGAAAACTCCTGATACATTTAGAATGTGAAGAAAACATTCCTTTTCCTAACAAAAAAGACATCAAGCCATGAGATAATCAAATGTCTTTTTAAATTTTTGAAAAATTGTAATCCTCTTATTATATTGCTAGATTGCACTAATTTAACACTTCTCACAATCATTCCTTCGATTTTTTTTTTTTGGGGGGCTCTCAAATTAGAAAATCAATAATTTAAGTAAAAATTAAACTTAAATTGAGATAAAAATAATAAAGCAACACAAATCAACTTAAAAATTACCAAAAAAAAAAAAAATCATACCAAGAAAATAATATGATCCGTTTTACCCAGGCTCGTCCCTGAGCCAGGGCAGGAGAGAGAAGAGATCCAATTTTATAGTTCAATCCTAACATTTAAGGGTTTTGCAACACATTAGCAACCAGATTTGATTCAATTATCAAAAAAATCATAATTTTAGGGATATTTGATTCAATTATCAAAAAAATCATAATTTTCGGGATATTTGATTCAATTATCAAATTAAGCTCATAATTTTCTTTTCTAACAACATATATAGTTCAATCACTGGTTATGATCATAGTAATTAGAACCAATAGTTGAGATTTGAGAACCCTAAAGTTACTGCACCGACAATTAAATTAAATCAAAGATAAACCCTAGATTGTGAAATTCCAACAAATTACCTCAGAAGCTGCTTCAATGGGGGAATACAAGCATTAGATGGCGCCTCAATGGAGAACGTCAAGTGCGATTTAATGGAGAACTCAGAGGGGGGAGCAGGAGGAAGACGAGGCAGGGCTTCGTTCATCTGTTAATATACCGTATTGAAGAATTATTGAGACATATATTAGGTTCGGGAAGTGTAACACGATGTACGTAGTACGTATATAACTTTTACCGCGAAAACACAATTGAATTGGGAAGGATGGATATGACAATTGGATTGGAAAGGATCGATATGTGAATTGTGTCGTGTTGTTGATCAACCCATTCAAATTAAAAGGGTATTGTATTAGTGTTGATTATGGAAATTATGGTCTTTATGTGAAACATTAGATATTAGCCCCTTATTAATAAAAAAAATTATTTTGTGATAATCATAATATAAAGAGCATAAGGTATAATAGTCGCTATTATGCAAATCACAAAGTTTTATATGTGGCTAGCCATATCGTGTGGCCGGGGTTACTCGATTGACCAGAGGTTATTTGAAGAAAAAAAATAATACATATATAAGCGCATACGTATAACAAAAATTTTGGTAGATAAAAAGTATAAATGTGACAAAAAAAGAAGTATATCATATCATATCATATCACTATCATATAAAGCCGGTCTCGCAGCGACGCAGCCTGGCCACGAGACAAAAACACTTAGCATTTCAGTTTTTCGCTAAGTGTCGCGTCATAGGCGAAAAATAGATATTATTGTGACACATATGATACTAAGTAAGTGAATTTTGGATTGTTTTTTTTTTAGATAAAAATGTTGTATAGAGTTTTATTATCTTCTAATATTTCATATACTACCTCCGTTAACAGTTATTTGCAACAAAGGGGGGTAGCACAGACTCTTAGGCAAAACTTTTAAAACATGATTATTGAAAAATAAGGGCACTTGGTTAACAATTAATCCTACTTAAAAAAAAACAATTAAACAAAAACCCATCCACCGAAACCTAGAACTAGAACCACCACCAAAACCACCAGAACCACCAAACCCCGACACTCAGAACCCAAAACCACCACCAAAACCACCGAAACCCAACCACGAACCCAGCCAAAACCACCGAAACCCAACCACGAACCCAACAAACCACCACGAACACAGAAAACCCGACAAACCACCACGAACCAGCCAAAACCACCACAAACCCAGCAAACCAACACGAACCCAGCAAACCACCACGAAACTCAATTAAATCGGAACCACCACGAATTGAATTACTCCCAATTAAGCCACCACCACGAAACCAAATTTGAAACCCCTAAAACTACCCCACGAAACTCATGCCACCCCCACGAACTCGGACCCACAAACCAGGCGAACCCAAATCCACGAACTCGGACCCACGACCAGACAAACCCAAACCCAAATCGCAATAGGAGAGAGAAGGGGGAAGATGAACCAAAATGTAGGATTAGGGTTTAAATTTTGGAGATTTCAACTAAAGAAGGGTTAGGGAAATGAATGATTTTGATGAAGATGAATGATTTTTGGTGAAAATGATTACAATAATCATATTCATTAGGTAAAAAGTTAAATTAGGTCTAAGTTGTTTAAGTAAGGGTAATATGGTCATTTTGTTGGCAAAAAGTTACTAAAAGTGGAAAGAAAAAAATTGTTGCACATAATAGATAGCAACCTAAAATGGCAAATGTTGCAAATAACTGTTAACGGAAGTAGCATACAAAATTAATTTTAACTTTTACTCCCTCCGTCCCATAATACTTGGGACGTTAGGGTGGACACGTAGTTTAAGAAAACTTCTAGTGGGTCTATTTTTGTCAAGTATTATGGGACGGAGGGAGTAATAAATATCATATAACTCGGTTCAATTTTCATAATAAAATTCGTTTTAAAAAGTTCTTTAAAATAAGATCCATTTATAATATAATTAATTTTTATTAAAAAAAAGAATTAGTAAAAAATAATTTAAGTCTAATAAAAATAATTTCAAGTCAATAATAACATAGATATTTATAAACAAAACTAAAAAAAGTACACTATTATTTAATTAAATAAGCGATATGACATCTTATGTCTAAATATCCTACATCATCAAAAGGATTGTGGGACCGTATATAACATTCAAGCAAAAAGTTTATACTGAAACTTTATCAACAATATAGGCACCGTCCGGGTACAAAACTGATTACAGTATAAAGTCGTAATGCATTTTTTAAAAATATCACAACAGATTGAGTGGAATTCTTTTTCCATTCCCTTAAAACAAACACTTCGCTCTAAACTGTGGTCTAAGGCAAGGGGACCTATTGCCCCCATATCTGTTTATCTTCTGTATGGATATTCTCTCTAGAATGTTGACTCTGGTAGAAGATATTAACCAGTTCAAAGGTTTGAAAGTCTCACGGAGAGCTCCCTCTATCTTTCATATATTCTTCGTGGATGATGCCATGCTTTTTTTAAGCAACCGAGGAGTCTTGCTTATGCATTGGAGACATCCTTCATAGATTTGGTAAAGCTTCTGGGCAACAACTGAACCTCCAAAAGTCGTTTGTGAAATTCTCTCCAGAGGTTGGCAATGGTACAAGGTTATCCCTGAAAAGAATACTGGCTATGTCTGAAACTAATAACATGGGGACCCCACTTAGGATCCTCGATTGATATACAGGGGAAGAAGAGCTGCTCTTTCCAATTCTTAGTGGACAAAGTAACCGAGAAGGTCGTTTCTTAGGCACCTCTGCGTCTATCCCAAGCAACAAAATTAATCCTCATCAACATAGTTCTAGTAAGTATCTCGGCTCATGTTATGAAATGTTTAAAGCTTCCCCAAAGCATTGCAAATAAAATTGATTCACTTATCACAAGATTTTGGTGGTCTAACTGTAATACCCCCAAATCTCCCTCTACAGAAATACTAGTATAATACGTATAATTATATCGTAGATATAGACTTAGGCGTATTACCGCTGAGTGATTACGCAAGGCTACTCAAACTACTAACCAAAACCAATACTTTGTAGCGGAAACTCAAAATATTTCTTTATTAATAATAACTATAAATAGAAACTATTGTTATGAGTACTCATAATTAAACCAAGACCAACAATCCTAATCTAGGTGAAGAACATTCCCGGGACTCCCATATGCTCAATTCTTGACTCCACCTGAAATTAGTCAACACTGCTTACCATTACGGTAAACAAGGCAAACCAAAACAAAGAAGAAATACGGGTTAGCAAAATATGCTAAGTACGATAAGTGCAAGATAAGTAAATTCAATTTATTTGCAAACATGCTTTTTAAACCAATTCCAATATTTAATCCAATGATTTCCAAAACTCATGATTTCAAATCAATTCTCAATAATTCAATAATTCGATGAAACGATTTATAAAACCAATTCCTCCTATGAAAACTAACCTCTTTTGAAAACCAATTCTCAAATATTCTCAAAATAATTCCAATAACTCAATAATAATGATTAATAAAATCAATTATTTTCGAAAACTCAATCTCCTCTCTAAGGGTGCACACCCCCAAGCTAGTCTCCTACTATTTCAAGGCTATTCTTGGAGAAATACTAGGTCATACAAAGTCCATAGCCTTCAGTGAATTCGCATAGTGGGATTAATATAATAATTATGCTTGTAAAACTTTTTAAATAATTCAATAAACCTCTTTAACTCAATAATTCCAATAAATAACTCAAACTCCTTTCTAATTAAATTCAACCTGCTTTTAAAATCAACCTTTTAATAAATACTTGAGAATTAAATCTCATATTAATAACCTTTCAAAATCAATAATTCTTTCTTTGAAAAACCTTTTATTTAATTATCAAACTTTTCAAATCAATTTCTTTATTCAAACATGATAAGCTATTTAAACCATTCAAAACATGATATAACATCAATCCTCCAATTTATTTATCAAACCATTATTTTAACATGCTTTATTTTATAAATCATAATTTAATTCAATTTAATTCAATCATCATAAAAATCATATAAAACATGTTTATTCAACCCAATTAATTTCAAAGGTATCTAGCCACCTAAACGTACCTTTGGTCTTTGCTTAGCACACACAAAAAAACTTCAAGAATTTGGATCAAACACACCCTACAAATAAATATAACCTTAATTAATATAAGGTTAACAAATAATCACAATAATTAAATTAAAAACCCCCCAACTCTATGTGTACATGCACCTTTTAAATTATTTTTCATAAACATGAATAAAAATCTTATTTTATTTAATTAAAACTTATCATAATAGTTTTTATTAATCCCCCATAATAATAATAATTAATTAATAAGAGAAGAGAAGAAGAAAATGTAGAAAATCGAGGAAAGGAGGAGGAGGGAGGTGGCGGCAGCCGCCCGGCTGCTGGCGTCTGCTGGGGCTATGGCTGGAGGTGGTGGTCGGCGGTGACTGGTGGTGGTCGTGGTGATTGGTGGTGGTGGCGCAAGAAAAGAAAAGAAAAGGGGAAGAGAAAATTAAAGAGAGAGATTAAGAGAGAATTAGAGAATTTGGTGTGAGTGTTTAGCCATGAACCAATGGGTATTAATAGGCTAAATCATGCATGAATTATGGTAAGAGATTGTAGGAAAAATTATGGTAAAAAGAATTAAGGAAATTACTTGGAGAAGAGTGTTAAAGAAATATGAAAAGTTTGAGATTAAGGTAATTAAGAATAATAAAATTAAGGAAAGTATGTTGTCATGAAAAATAATATGGAAAAGAGGTTTACTTGGGGAATAATCAAGGATGCAATAAGGTAGGGAAATTAGATGATAAAATATTTAGGAGGTGAGAAATAAAAATTAAGGAAAATAATAATTTTGAGGAAGATAATTAAAAATACAAATTACCTAAATAATTCCCCCATAAATCAACCAAGAGGGACGAATATTTTGAGCTTCCTTAGCTCCAAATTTTCGGACCTCATTGGTGTATTTAGGAAATTATTTGCTAGATTTAAGGGATTAAAAATATTTGTGTAAATAATATATATTGTATAAAATAATTAATTAAGAGAATACCAATTATTCACTAAATAAATTAACTAAGAAAATCATATTTTCCACACTAAGAAGATCTGAAATTAATAGCCAATGAGGTCCTCCTCATTTAAATAATAAAATATAATTTTCGCTTAATTAAAATCTCCGAAATATATATAAATAATCCGGTTTTTAAAATAAAATAAATGGATATAAATCTTATTCAAAATCCAAAAATAATAATTAAGTTTTAAAATACTTTTGGAGCCAAAATTCAAATATCATTTTGGCTCCAAAATTCAAATAGTAAAACCTTTTTTAGAAAATAATAATTAATTAATTAGAAAATACGTTTCGAAAATACGGGGTATTACACCAACAATGGGAATAAGGGAATGCACTGGGTGAGTAGAGCTATCATCCAACTCCCTAAAAGCATGGGAGGTCTAGGCATACGAGGAGCTTCGATTCTAAATGATGCTCTTCTCTTCAAGCAGGCAACAAGGATGCATCTCAATATGTAGTTGTAGCTCTCTAGAGTGCATAAAGGGTTTCAACCTTGCGAGATTTGTAATATGACCAGACCATATGTAAGGATAGGGAATCCATCGATGGGAAGGGCAAGCCTTCAAAAAGTTACCAACTCTTTCAAGAAAGGTTTTGTGTGGAAAGTTGGTAATGGGAAGGATATTAAGGCTATCAATATGCCCTGGGTTAATGGGGAAACCCCAATAGTAAACTCAAACCAAACTTTGGGGGTTGCTTTGGGCTAGAATGTAAGTGATTTTATCGACAGTGACTCTGCGGAGTGGAAAGCGGGAAAGGTAAGGGAATGTTTTGACGGGAATAGTGCAAGGTCAATTCTGGCTATGGAAATTTCCCCCACAATGGAAGATGACTTCCTCTATTGGAAGTACCACCCGTCGGGTAGATATACTGTCAAATTGGGTACTACTACCTTTCTAAGGAACAGGGATTAGAACGAGCGAATCTCGCTACTAGTGAGCAGGAGTTTGTGAGGATCATTTGGAGGATGAATATTCAACCAAAATGGAATTGTTCTTGTGGAGGCTTTTTCATGATGGGATTACAGTAAAACTTAACTTAGCCAATAGAGGTATACAAGTTGATGCAACGTGTACATTCTGTGGGGTGGACTTGGAAGATAACCAACACCTCTTTAGGTCTTGTATTCTAGCAAAGGAAGTCTGGGTGAATGGCTCCCTGAAAATTTGCTTTGACTCTACTGGTTCAACTTTTTGAGAAGTTGAATCCAAAATTATATCCTGCTTTTTTATAGGAAGGATGGTATGCAGGGAACCCATAGTGTTTTATTTATTGCTACAATATGGGGGTTGTGGAAAACTAGGAACGCAAGAAGCTTCAATGGCACCATTGGGGCAGGAAGCTTAAGGGAATACATCAACAAAGCAATGGAAGATCATGGGACTTTCATCCAAAATGACAGGTATGATAATGCGAATGATGATGATATCAGGGAAGGCCCAACCTTGCCACCGGGCTTCAATCATGTGCAACTGGGAAAAGAAATGAATGGCTACGACAAGTTTATTATAGAAGTGGATGGATCATGGGATAAGAAGACCAAAAGGGCAGGTATTGGTTGGGCGGTCACGGGAAGGGACCAAGGCAATGTAATGGGTGAGGGTGGCAAACATGGGGCAACCTCATCAGTTCTACAATGTGAATCCTAGGCTTGCCTAGAAGGAATGAAATGGGCACGTGCAGAAGGTAAGGAAGGGATTCTTATCCTCTCTGATTTTGCTTCTCTCTTAAGCAATCTACAAGACAAGCTGAGTAAGGATGTTTCAATCATGTGGATGTTAAAAGAAATAAGGGAGGTGGGTGCAACGTTCAACAAGTGCACGATTTTAAAGGTTCAAAGAGATTAAGTGCAATGGGTAAACGAAATAGCAAGGAGATGTCGGTTTACACTTTCTAATTATGGGTAGTTTTAGTAGTATGTTAATTTGCTTTTGTAAAAAAAAAAAAAAAAAAAAAAAAACAACCAAACAAGAGAATATGTCATGTTGATAAATTTTCATTCATGCCTCCTTAATCTTACCTATCAAATGGCCTCTAATTGAAAATAAAATGAAAAACCCGTCAAAAAAAAAAAAAAAAACGAACAAAACCATATTCGAGTAATTATATAGATGCTCGATAAAATTAGTAATTACGGAATACTTAGTAATCAATTATCGTAACTCGAAAATGGATTCCATCCAAGAATATATTCCATCCTCCAAGAATATTGCAAATTTTAGCTTTAGCTAGCTGATCGAGTAAATACAATTCCGCTTCATCATCAAGTTATACCTTTTTTTTATTTTTTTATTCAAACTATATGCTTCTATTAATTTCATAATTTCCATTTAGTTCTAAAATATATTTTGTCACTTATTAATCAATTCAATTTTTTTGCAGTGTAATTGGCCAATCCAATGGAAACCCTTAATCAGAAGAATGGATTGGATATCACCTTTCGCAAGAATGTGCTCAATAATTTGTAAATTTCCCATTAACTTTTTTTTAAAAATATACATTTCGTAATTTTGATTACTTTTTGAGTTACTGCATATTTATTTCATGATTTTTTTTTGAGTATGAATGATATTGCCAATTTTTAATTTTAATTGATTATTTGCTATTTCTGTAGGGTTTTCTCTAAAATTTGTTCTTTTTATATGTTTATTGATTTTTAATTTAATAAAATGTATTTCTTATTAAAAATAGGATCATCAAGAAATTTAAGGAATTTGCCCAGAATTCAGAAAACCCAGTAGTTTTCAGCACAATTAAAGACATTGCTGTGAAATTAGAGGAAAAGTTGTTCAATAAAGCAACAAACAAGGTAATATTACCCTCATCAAATTACTGAAGTCTTTAATGATCTTGATCCTTTTGAACTTATGAATTATGATTGTATATCTTTATTACTGAGCTTAATTACCCCTAAAATAATCCAACGTAGAAGTCAAATCTGACAATTCTCGTGTATCCGACGACATTCATAGAGCTGGTGGACATTGATCAAGAGTGCAAGTTAATTGCCCCTTTATACTCCTTCCGTTCAGATTTAGTTGTCATATGGGTAGTTCAAATTATAATGACAATTAGCTCGATGGAGTTAATGATGGTTTGGACAATTCTTTATCTTAAAAGAAATGAACCGATCCAAAGTAATTATTGGCCTTGTTAAAAGGATGCATAAGATAATTGACGAGCATATGGTTCTAAAGCGTTAGAGGAGTTTTGTTCTTTGACTGTATTTGTGTACAACGATTAGGCTCTTTTATTGTTCAGTTGTAGGTGTACGCTGGTTTGATCTCTAAGATGCGTGAAGTTCTTTACTCGTTTAGGTGTACTGAACTTTGGCTCCTACTGTTTCAACAAACCGAGTTTTGATAATAGAGAAAGGTTTTGGCTCTAAGTTTTGTCTCTCATCTTTTGGTGTTTGCAGGATGATTATTTAGCTAAAGTGCTGCAAAAATTGAACTTGGTGGAAAAAAACAAACTTTTTGATGCTGTGGCTGCACCAACAACAGGTAAGAGGATTAGTTGATTTACATAATTTTTGGTAGTTTGTTGATGTGTGCTTTTATCGCTTTGTGCTTGATTACGTGTAGAACATGTACAAAAATATTGTAACTATAGTTGAGAAGGAATGAAGGATTAAATTTAAAGATGACCACAGTAACATATCAATTTAAAGATTAGTTGCTATGGAATTAATCCAAGCGCTCTTCATACTCATCTATGGAGCCAACATGACTCATTAAATAAAGTGTCTCACACTCCCACATAACATTTTTATCAGATCTTGCACCAAATTTTTTTATTTTTTTTTATCAGATAGAGCCAAAAACATGAGTTTTACAACCCAAAAGTCGCTATGTTGCATGACGAAGGGTTATAAATTACCATAAACTTAAGCAATAAGTCCATCATAAATTCCTCAATAACTTTTCATATAACCAATAGTTAAAATTTGAATAACTGTTCACTATTGACTTTCATAACTGATGAATGAGATATGGTCCGGACATGCCATAAATGTGCATTGAGGAAGGGGTGCAAAACACAAACTTCCTCGATCTCTGAGAAAGCTGCTTTAGAAGGCTGGCATGGACGCACGGTTGTGCTGTACACCAGAAGTCAACAATTGTTCATTTGGACTGGGCATGATGAACTGCACAATTTATCTTAAATCTTCAATCCAAAAATGGATTCAAGTTGATTTGTTATAGTGTTGTTCCTTACTCTCCTTCACATCCTTCACCTTTGGGCCCAGTGTTTTGCTTTAATAATTAAAGTCTCACATAGAGCTTAATATATGGCTTTTAACAACTTATGGTTTGCTCTAATTTGGACTTTTGACAGAAACTTGTCCAGTGTTTTGCTATACGATGTGATCTTGTGTATCTCCATCAATTTCATACGAAGTATTATATACATTATGTCACCCAGGCTTACCTGATCATGTTATGTATTACACAGTAAAATTTATAGTTAATTTTATGCTAGATATTTGATAAGTAAAGCAATGTAGCAATTGACATTGAAAAGTACTGTTTCAAATTTATCTTAGTGGATTTTGAAAGTAACGTGGGTTTCGCTCATGGTCATTATCACCTAGGGAATCAGCTGTTGAATACACCAATACAGAGGCAAGCTGTCGACTCCAATTATTCTCAAAATAATCTCAGTGGCAGTAGTTCACTTCAGCAAAGCCACAAATTGTTTCTAAATGAACCACAGGTGTTGCAAACACCTATGCCAGCATCATCAATTATGCAACAAAACAATCTAATTATACAACTAGATTTAAACCAGTTATCATCAATTATGCTAGGCTACAGGGATCTCACAGGCCAAGTACTTCTCTTCATTCTCAAACCTTAGTTGGTATGAATAAGCACAGTTCTCAGTCACAGATGACAAGTGCAAAAGCTGCATCAGGTATGAATATTATGGATCACATCATATTTTTTTTTTGTGTTGTATTATTGTGTAGGAATTTGTACAGTGAGAGTTGTTGATTATACTGATCATATTTCTGAGTATTATGCTGCCTTCTCTGTAACTTCTGTTTGCATCAAGAACAATGTCAGTTTATCGATCAAATATTATGCTTAACAACTCACAAAAAGGTATGAAATTTTTAATGTGTCTGTTTTATGTGAAAAGGTTACTACATAGAACTTATTAAGAGTTGATAAACAGAAGACTGAATTCTGTTTTTTTGTCATCATGATACTGCTTAAGCTAATTGTACTCATGGTCATCAATGTGCATCTTTTTTAAAAAGCAAGTAATAAATAATCAACTTTTTTGCCGGAATCCCTTCAAGGTTCTAAGTCTGCCTGTATTGATTTTTTTTTTTTTTTCTTCTCATTTAATCAATACGATCTTTATAATTATTTGTCAGTTGGTTAAAGAAGTATTTTGTTTATTTCATAAGATTTCAGCATAATTAACATTTGTACTTTCTGTTACATGCTCAACTGTCAATTTTGTATATTTGTTTAGTCTATAATTTGTTGTCCCCTCAATTGTCCCAATATCTTAAGCTGTAACTTTTTTCATTTTAAAATTATTGCCTCTTCAGCATTTGTGTCCTTTCCTGATGCTGGCAATATCAATGCAGCTGATTGGAAGCTTCTCATTGACCAGGTCTGAATTTTTTTTAATCATTATGGGTTTATATCTATCATGGATTAGGATAACCCCTGAGTTGCTGCATATATCAGTGTTTTCCCTTTAACTTCGTTTATCAATGACTTTGGATCTTCCTTAATAATATACTTCGTATTTTCTTACAGTTTTTAACGGAATGATTTCCCCTCATTTCAAACAATCTTCAATTAATTTTTTTTTTTTTAAATTTTAAAATCAAACAATTTTGTAATTCGAAGGATTACTCCTGTTATGTAGTTGGTGAAGGGGAATAATTTGGAAAAAAATCTTGTGAAAATGGAAAAAAGTTTTCCGAGACATCTGCTGAAGGCAGTAGATTGTTAAATTGCCATGAAGGCTGGATAAACTTTTTATATTATACAATATACATACCTCTCTTTCTATAGTGGGTTAGGTCATCATTTATCAAACATTATCAATGAGTTTTGCTGGACACATTGCAGTATCAACGTGCTAGGTCAACGTACTTACCTGAGCTAAATAAATTACTAAAGAGAGCTGAGGAACAGTGTTTTCAGGTATCTGGTAGTAGTTTATATTCTCTATGTATCTATTTTTTATTTTTTTATTTTTTTGGCTTACACTTTCTCTTGCTCAAACAATTGCTAAAGAACCTTGTTGATTGTCTATTGCTTGAATGTGTATTCTGTGATGCAGGGACAGAATGCAAAGCAACTTGAAACAGTTAAACGTGCCAGGGATGTGATTAAACAGATGATCAAGTTTTTACACATTACAGAAAGTGAATTGTTACGCATCTCCAAAGAAATAGTGTATCAGAATTTGAATCAAATCATACAGTATTTCAATTCATTAAGTAAGAAGAGTACTACTTCTTCCGGGAATCAAGCACCACAATCCTCTTATGGACAGATTCTTGTGAACAATGTGCAAATGACGCCATTAGTGAATACCACCCTGATTAGAAAACCCATGTCACAGAGGCCAGAGGATGGGTCTTCACATTCACAACCAGGTGTTCTACATCCACCTCTTTATGATTCTGTACGTGCAACAAAGCGGGTGGATATGAAGAACCTGCAGCTCCAGGGTCCTGAGGACACTGCAGACAAAGATGCTGTGAGTCTATAATGCTTGATTGCATAATGTTTTGTTGTTCTCAATTTTTTGGGTGTGTGTGTGTGTGTGTGTGTGTGTGTGTGTGTGTGTGTGTGTGTGTTTGGTCATGATATCTCCTGTTCTTTTGACACAAGCCACTCACAAGGTAACACATTTGTACTGAAATTTATACTGTGGTGATTACATAAAAGATCTCATGTGATTCTATATGGAAATGCTTTAAGTATTTGTATCTCCCATCCATTTTCATTCACAGAAAATTTAGTGCAATATACTAAATGAGCCATAAGTATACTTAGTTATCAAGTCTACATTCGTAAATTGATCTTGCTTGTATTATACTTTTTCTCCAATCTTTATTATGACATTGATTTTAGATAAGTTAGAAGTGTTTACTCATAAGCTATGCTGAGTTCTGATGCAAGCTTACTTGCTAATTCCAGCATCTTAATGTGAAAAAAAATCCACAACAAAATCAGATAACAAGTGTGAACCAGACTACAGAAGTTCTGCAAACAAGGAAGCCACAAAAGCTGCCAGAAAAGAAAGGTGATTTCATGAACTCAATGTTCCCACCAATGACAAAAGCCACTTCCAGGACTTCTTGTCAGCAATCATCTGGTACCTGCCTTATGTCTGCTAAACCACCCCAAAGTTATTCTGCACAACCTGAGAAGAAAAAAAAAGGCATCATTTGTTTCGGATCATAGAGAAATGTCACATCCTAAGGCCATAATCATTACAGTTGATTCACCTTCAACTCCAATTACACCAACTTCTGCACCGAAGGAAATTGGGAAGCTTACTATGTCTGTTTCTCCTACGAAGTTTCAAGCAAGAAAAGCTCAATGTGAGACTGAGGTACAAGACAAGGATCTTGACTTTGAAACACCTGGGGTATTAGCTTCTTCCTTGCCTTCTGATTCCAGTGTCCCAGAAAACAACCAACTTCCACATTGTGCAAAGCAGCCTTTTGAGCGCTTAATTCAAGCAGTATGTCTTCCAATTCTTGTCTGTTTTCATTATTCACTTGTAAAGCACCCTTTGATTTATGCTTTACTTAATCACTTCTTGACAACATTCTGTTAAATAAGATGGGGAAGAGCCAAGTATAATCAGAGATGCTTATCTTCATTGATTGCTAAATCATTGTTGACTTGCTTGCAAAGTTGCAAGGTTGAGGAAGTGTTCATCTGATGATGTAGTATTAATAAGTGTGCAGGTTATAGTAGTATCACTATAAAGGTTCCTAGGTTGCTAGTAACCCCTGCCTACAATCTGCCTGCCAAAAGCAAGGTATATTGTTGATTAATCAGCTGCCAAAAAAAAAAAAAAAAAAAAAAACTTTGACCTTGGAATGTGTAGTTAAGTGCAACATCTAAAATTAAAATTAAGGAGTGATCAAGTAAAAAAAAAATGTTAATACTATGTATTAGGGGTTTGGATGACTATGTAGAATATGCTTTGTACAGTGGTATACTGGTATTTAGTGAAATGCCTGGTGGATATATTTTTTTTTTTTTTTATATTTCTTTCTTTTCCTATCAGGTTCAGCTGATTTCTAAGGAAGCTCTGAAGAGTTCCATGGATGACATTGCCTCAGCCATGAGTGCTGTGAATAATTTGCCCACGTATGCAAATGATGTTGATTCACCAGCAGTATATTGTAGTACTGGCGATGGAAACACATCCCATAAAAAAATGAAACGTGACATAGATTCAGTGAGAGGGGTTGTGTCGGCGTTGGATAATTATGGTTCATGCAGAAAAAAGTTGAGAAAGGAGGTATGATACACTTTCCTGCAGCACAATTTAGTATGAGCAAATCGTATTGTTTATTTATTTTTAGTCATAGATAAGATGTATGTTCTCTACAGCAAAATCATCTTTGGACTAGAGTTATGAGGTCTTATAAATGTCTGTATGTTTTATATTTTACTGATTGGAAGAGTGAAATTTTGATATACGTTTTTGGAATGCATGTTATATTAAATCTCTATGAACCGCATGCTTATGCTCTTTCATAATATCTCGACTTTGTGCAGGTCAATAACGATTTAATGGATGAAAGTAGACAAACAAACCAGAGACTTATTGAGACAGTGCTAAAAGTAGATTGTGATTTTGATTCTAGTAATGAGTCCATCATCAAATGTACCTATAAACCTGTGTCCTGCAGTGGAAGTTTTAAGAGACATTTTGGATTTATGGAATCAGTATGTTCTTTCATTCTCCACTCACAGCTGCGCTTTGCTCTTGTATTTGAAACCATACTCATTTGATCATCGTTTTCATATATAACTTGCAGATGTTGACCCTTTCAATCGAGATTCTTGTTCCTTCATACTACCCTAATACTCCACTTAAGATCTTAGACAGGCTACCTGATGGATGCTGGTGAGTGAATACTTCAGTTCTTATTTCTTATCTACTTTTGATAAGTCATGCTTGAAATATGTATAATGACTAATGAGGTTGGGTTTCGATAAATTATACTCAAATTTGCCTTTCTGTTTCAGTAAAGAGACTAAAGATTTGACGGAGAAGGCAAGAGCTAGATTTGACAGGTGCATTAGAGGTCTTGTGTCGCTAGGACTAGGAGACATGGCTCGAGCTTGGGATGATAGCGCTCGATCTGTTATTTCCGACTTTACCCTTGGTCTTGGAGGAGAATTTTTCAGCTCTAAGTATGGCACCTGGGAGTGTGTTTCAGCAGTTTGATGAAAATCTAAGTGATATAGTAGGAAAACAAAAGTGAGGAACTCTCATTCTGCTGCTCGGTTGAGGCTATTAGGATATTACTGCCTTGTCCCTATCTTGTGAATATGCCAATATAAATATAAAATACTTTATGGTAAATACATATAATAAGGTCTTGTAAACAAAAATACATATAAAAGGTTATCTTCATCACTTTGCTTTTAAATAAAACTAAGACATACATTACTTTTGAAATTAACTACATCACTAAACCTTTGGAGAAAAGTACAAATAATTTTTGGCAACTGTTGGATTGAGTGATACACGGTGCGTCCGATAGCCATTTCTCCACTTTGAGTAACTTATTATTTTAATTCAATACTTTACTATTTGACATCAGCAGAGCATTGTTTAAGAGTAGTAATTAGAGATTGACATACGAACTTTCTTATTCGGGTTACAATAAAATCGAAAAATGTGGACGATTATCGATGTTAGGATGTCTTAGATACCAACCTCAAAACTTTAACCAAGCTTAGTAGCGTCCATGAATAAAATACAAAGTAAATGAGAATGAGATATACAAAGTAGTTTAAATACGACCCTGCTTTTTTAAACCCCTTCCCTCCAATTTCTTCTTATAGTTCTCGGCACTTCATCTTCTTCCATCTTCTAGTGCGAGATTGACGTTCTCCTTTGCTAACTGGTAATGTATTCTTTTTCTTTCGAATCTTCGCGCATGTGCTAAACTCCATTGTTACCCTGTACACAAGCTTATTCTTCAAGAACTGATGAATTTTTGAATGAAATCCTCTGTTTTCTCAATTTCTTCATGTGTAAACTATCAATCAAGAATCTGGACGAAACCCATTATATGTCATTGTTATTGAATTGAAACCTCTGTTTTTCACAATGTGTAATGTTATTCTATTTAACCCCATTGAATTCGTTTGATTTCATCATCATCATTTAATTTCACCATTGATGCTCTGTTTTCTTGAATTTTTTTATTTATTTTTATTTTTATATATGTATTTCAGTAGATGAATAATTTAATGACTGAAATATCTTATAATTTTTTGTGGGTATCATTTTTGATCTTGTTTCTTGATTCAAGTTCTTCAACTAGTAGATAACAGAGAAGTTCAATTATCAATCTTGCAAGTTTTTCTTACAAAAATTCTTGGGAGTTTTTGTTGATATTGTTACTTGTTTCATGGCATGTTTATAATTTTGGCGAATAATTGGACAATCTCTATGTTTTCTATAGAATGTAGGAAATAATTGAAAAAAATACTTATAAAAGTATGTCTATATTAATGTATGTAGAAATGTAGAACTCTTTTTCTTCATTTAATTTCAATTTCATTAGTAGAAATTTCGGCATTTGAACACTGATTTTGCTTGGTTTTCTTTGCCAAAACTTAGAATATAGATATTTTTTTTAATAATAATGGTACACTGAATTATGAATTTCTGACTTGAGTTTTCTCACTTAATTACAGCATCTTAATCTGAATTACAATCTGAACCAATTTCAGTCATTTAAACTCTAAAAAGACAAAACGAACAACGCCGCATCAGCTGCCAGAAGATGTAGATGACATGATCGACATGGACTTCCTGTTGTCGCCCCCATTCATTGTTGAAGAAACCTTGCAGCAGGATCCTGAGGACACTGCAGACAAAAACGCCGTGAGTCTATAATGCTTGATTGCATAATGTATTATTGTTCTCAGTTTTTGGGGTCATTTATCATATAATACCTTTTCTTTAGTATCTAAACCTTTCACAATTTAGTGAGTTGCTATTCACTTTTTCTTGGCTGTGTGCCTGTGTGTGTGTGTGCGCGCTTGCGTGTGTGTCATGATATCACCTGTTCTTTTGACACAAGCCACTCACAAGGTAAGAAGCGGTACTGATATTTGTGTTGTGCTGAACTGCTGATCCTATATGAAATATGTATTTCCCATCCATTTTCATTCACAGAAATTTTAGTGCAATATACTACTAAATTAGCCATAAGTACACTTAGTTAACACAATCTACATTTGTAGATTGATCTTGCTTGTATTATGCTTTTTTCTAATTTTATTTTGACCTTGAGTTTAGATAAGTTCAAAGTATTAACTCATAAGCTATGCTGAGCTCTGATGAGAGCTTCCTACTGCTTATTCCAGCATCTCAATGTGAAACAAAATCCACAACAAAATCAGATTACAAGTATGAACCAAACTACAGAAATCCCGCGAACAAGGAAGCCACAGAAGCTGCCAGAAAAGAAAGATGATTTCATGAACTCAATGTTCTCACCCATGACAAAAGCCACTTCTAGGACTTCTCATCAGCAATCATCTGGTGCCTGCCTCATCTCTGCTAAACCACCCCAAAGTTTATCTACAGAAACTGATAAGAAAAGGAACGCATCATTTGTTTCAGATCCTAAAGAAATGTCACATCCTAAGCCCATAATCAATACAGTTGATTCACCTTCACCTCCAAATACACCAACTTCTCCAGCAAAGAAAAGAGAAATGCCACATCCTAAGCCCATAATCAATACAGTTGATTCACCTTCACCTCCAAATACACCAACTTCTCCAGCAAAGGAAAGAGAAATGCCACATCCTAAGCCCATAATCAATACAGTTGATTCACCTTCACCTCCAATTACACCAACTTCTCCAGCAAAGGAAAGAGAAATGCCACATCCTAAGCCCATAATCAATACAGTTTATACACCTTCACCTCCAATTACACCAACTTCTCCAGCAAAGGAAATTGGGAAACCTGCTATGTCTGTTTCACCAACGAACTTTCAAGCGAGCAATGCTCAATGTGAGACTGAGGTACAAGACACGGAGCTTGACATTGAAACACCTAGAGTACTAGCTTCTCCCTTGCCTTCTGATTTCAGTGGCCCAGGAAACAACCAGCTTCCACATTGCGCGCACTTAGCTCAAGCAGTATGTCTACCAATTCACTCTTGTTCTGTTTTCATTAATCATCTGTAATGCACCCTTTGATTTATGCTTTGATTAATCACTTCTTAAAATCAGTCTGTTAATTAAGCAGTATGTCTACCAATTCTATCAGGTTCAGATGATTTATATGGAAGCTCTGAGGAGTTCCATGGATGACATTGCCCCGGCCATGAGTGCTGTGAATAATTTGCCCACGTATGCAAATGATGTTGATTCACCAGCAGTATCTTATTGTACTGGCGATGAATACACATCCTGTAAAAAAATGAAATATGACATAGATTCAGTGAGAGGGGTTAAGTCGGCCTTGGATAATTATGGTTCCTGCAGTAAAAATCTGAGAAAGGAGGTATGATACACTTTCCTGCGGCAATATCATGTTTGAACACTAGAGTTATGAGGCCTTATAAATGTCTGTAAGGTTCTCAGAAAGCATGATAAATTAAATCTCTAAGAACCGCGTGCTTATGCTCTTTCATAATCTCTTGACTTTGTGCAGGTCAACAACGATTTAATGGATGAAATCAGACAAACAAACCAGAGACTTATTGAGACAGTGCTAAAAGTAGATTGTGATTCTGATTCTAGTAACGAGACTGTCATCAAATGTACCTATAAACCTGTGTCCTGCAGTGGAAGTTTTATGAGACAATTTGGATTTATGGAATCAGTATGTTACTTCATTCTCTGCTCACTTCTGTGCTTTGTTCTTGTATTTATCTACATACTCATTAGATCATGGTTTTTTCTATATGGATTAATCACTTTTGTTTCATGTAGCCGACCCCACTTATGATGGTTTTTATATTTAACTTGCAGATCTTGACTCTTTCAATCAAGATCCTTGTTCCTTTTAACTACCCTAATACTCCTCTTAAGATCTTAGACAGGGTACCTGACGGATGCTGGTGAGTCCGTGAGTGAATACTTCTGTTTTTATTTTTATAAGTCATGCTTGAAATGTATATAATGACTAATGAGGTTGAGTTACGATGAATTAAACTCAAATTGGCCATTCTGTTTCAGCAAAGAGACTAAAGACTTGACGGAGAGGGCAAGAGCTATATTTGACAGGTGTGTTAGATGTCTTGATTCACTAGGACTAGGAGACATGGCTCGAGCTTGGGATGATAGTGCTCGATCTGTTATTTCTGACTATATCCTTGGTCTTGGAGGAGAATCTTTCAGCTCTAAGTATGGCATCTGGGAGTGTGTTCCACCAGATTGATGAAATTCTATGTAGGAAAACAAAAGTGAGGAGCTCTCATTCTGCTGCTGGTTGAGGGGCTTGAGGCTATTATACTAGTAGGATATTACTGCCTTGTTTCTATCTTGTGAAAAAGAGTAAATACTTGATGTAAATATACACATAATAAGGTAGGCCAATCACTTTGCTTCTAAATAAAACTAGGACATGCATCATGTATTCATGTATCTTAATTGACTATGGTGGTTAAACTTGTCAATGTGATTATAATAGTTTTAACAAAAGTATATTGTTTCTTAGCGGTATTGTTTTTGTAGTTTTATATTCGTCTCTTTTGTTTGTTTCCTTTGAAATCTTTCGTTTGAAGAGTGGGAAACTTCGATCATGAGCATTTATCACAACATTAATTCATATACGTGCATAAAAAAAACCAGTCACGTGATTTTTTTTATTTTTTTTAAAAAAATCCTCACAATATGTAGTTTCAAAAACATTACAGAAGTAAATATTAATAGTATTTTCTATAATTTTAGTATTTTCTATTTTTAAAATAGTTATGTAAAGTATATTATTCGAAAATTCATGTCATTTAATTAATTATGAAAAATTGTGAAATTGTGACAACTAATTTCAGGCAAAGATGTATTTGGATTAGCAGGGATACTCTAGCTTACATGATTGGGCAGCCTGTAAAAGATATAGAGCTGATTCACAGGCTAAGTCAATTAAGTCGGCCAGTCAACACCAATATTGACCACTCACAAATATCAAATCACACACCTCAATCTTCTTTGAAGCTTCCTCATCTAATAATTGTGTGTGTATATAGTAAAGAAATGTTATAGTATGATGCAATTATCAAATTCACTCAATATCAAACTTTCAAAGTTAGAAGAAAATTATGGCTAAGCAAGATGATCAACTCAACCAATCCAACCTTTCGATTCGACCGTTCGATCCCACAACTGATGTAGATGATCTGATGGTATGGGCATCAGATGATCAAGTGACACAATTTTGTAGCTGGGACACCTACACTTCTAAGGACCAAGCTGTTGAGTACATAAACAACTTTGTCCTAAACCATCCTTATTATAGGGTAATATGCCTTAACAATAGGGCAGTTGGTGCTATTTCTGTTACTTATAACACAGGAAATGATAAGTGTAGGGGGGAGTTGGGGTATGTCTTGGCATCCGAGTATTGGGGCCGAGGGATCGCTACGTGGGCGGTGAAGGCGGTGGGGTGTACGATATTCGAGGAGCGGTCGGAGTTGGAGAGGCTAGAGGCTCTTGTGGATGTAGAGAATAAGGGGTCACAAAGGGTGCTAGAGAAGGCAGGGTTTTTGAAAGAGGGTGTTTTGAGAAAGTATTGTATTCAGAAAGGGAAGACTTGTGATATGGTCATGTTTAGTTTTCTTTCTATTGATGTTCCCCAAATGTAATTGTCATTAATTCAACATCAATCATTGTAATTTTGTATGTACCAACTTTAATAAGTCTTCATATTTATGAATACAACAATTATTATATATTGATTACAATTTATTTATTTATTTATTTTGAGAGAGAGAGAGCCGCAAGGGCAATGATGTAGACGGGATTCAATCCTATGTCTTGAATATCACCTCTTAATACTTTAACCAACTAACCTAGGTGGCATCCATAATAATGTGGAGAATATAATTTGTTATTACTTCATATTGTCCTTTTCTTTTTGTCACAAGTCAACATCACATTAGAACTTTTCTAACTAAATTAATTCTAATAAATGTCATGCCTAATTTTTTTTTTTCCTATTATAAACTTTTATTGAAAGATCTAAAGTTAATTTTTCATAAAATAATTTTTTATTTCTTAATTTTAGTGAAAAATAATAAAAATCACTCGTATTTACTTTGAAAATCGAATAAAATTTTAGATACATAACTTTTGAAATTTACTACTTCTTTTCTAAGCCTTTAGAAAAAGTATATTTTTTTTTGGGCAACTATTGAATTGAGTGATACGGTGTATTCCATAGCCATTCCTCCACTTTGAGTAACTTATTTATATAAATCAATACATTACTAGGTACTACGTGACATTCAGCAAAGCATCGTTTAAGAGTAGTAATTAAAGATTGATATACTAATTTTCTTATTCGGGTCACCTTAAAAGTAAAATTATGGACAATAATCTATGTCATGTCTTAGATACCAACCTCAAAACTTTAAACAAAAATCGTAACGTCTATAAATAACCAAATTTCATAGCGTTTACCAAACATAAGAAGTAGAGAGTAAATGAGAATGAGATATACAAAGTAAATTAAATACGACCCTGCTGTTTTAAACCCTTTCCCTCCATTTCTTATTACATCTCTCTGCACTTCATCTTCTTCCTCGTTCTCCTTCTACTGAGTGACTAACGTTCTCCTTCGTTAACGGGTAATGTGTTCCTTTTCTTTCGAATCTTCGCGTATGCGCTAAACTCCATTGTTACCCTGTATACAAGCTAATTTTTCAAGAACTGATGAATTTTTGGATGAAATCCTCTGTTTTTCTCAATTTCTTCATGTGTAAACTATCAATCAAGAATCTGGATGAAACCCATTAACTTTCTTTGTTTTTGAATCAAAACGTCTTTTTTTTCTTTACCCTTAATATTTTTCTAGCAAAACCCATTAAATTCGTTAAATTTTATCATCATCATTTAATTTCACCATTGATACTCTGTTTTCTTGGATTATTTATTTATTTATTTATTTCAATTCCAGTAGATGAATGATTTAATGACTGAAATATCTTATAAATTTTGCGGATATCATTGTTAATCTTGGTTCTTAATTCAAGTTCTTCAATTAGTAGATAACAGGGACGTTCAATTATCAATTTTGCAAGGTTTTTTTTTTTTTTTTTTTTTTTCTAAAAAAAAAAAAATTAAATTCTTGGGAGTTTTTTGTCGTGGAATTTTGTTGCTTGATTAAAGACACGTTTATAATTTTGGCGAATAATCGGACAATCTCTATGTTTTCGGAAGACTATATGAAATAATTGGAAAATAAAACTCATACAATTATGTCTATATTAAGTATGTAGAACTCTATCTCTTCATTTAATTTCATTTTAATTAGCAGAAATTTCGGCATTTTGTACCAAATTTTATAGGTGAAACACTGATCTTACTTGGTTTTCTTTGCCAATTTCATAATAGAAGTATTTCCGTATTGTTTGTTGATAGCAAATCACAATTCTTGCTTTGTTTTTGATGCAATATTTTTTGAAATGCATAATAATTAGAATACTTTTTTTTTTAATAATAATGGTACACTGAATTATGAATTTCTGACTTGAGTTTCCTCACTTAATTGCAGCATCTTAATCTGAATTACAATCTGAAACCAATTAGTCATTCAAAATCTAAAAATGACACCACCAACAATGCCACATCAGCTGCCAGAAGATGAAGATGACTTCGTCAACTTGCTGTTCTCGTGCCCATTCATTGTTGAAGAAACCTCGCAGCAGACCTCGGGTCACAACTATAACTCTGCTGAAATTTCTCTGCATTCTGCAGTCATCACTGAGCTACCAGCGACAGCTCTCACACCGTATGTTTTGGATTGTGAAGTCACTTGGCCAGTCTCAGTACCGGAGTCTACTGAACCTTGTGTTCTTGAAGTTGCGATTTCGGTGCAATACGATTACATAAGTCCAGAAGCCAACTTGTTTTCAGAACCTACAGAGAAGGCTACTGCGAGCACCTCACTACAAGAGGTACACTTTATTACACTTAACCTGTCTTTGAAGTTTTCACAAACCATCCTAAATTACAATAATCACCATGCCATGGTAAAATGACAAAAAGCCTTTACAATTGAATATCTGCAAATAACATTTAATAGCGCATTTTGTCATTCTATGTCATTTCAAGAGAAGCAGTATAATAACATGGTTCATTGACTACAATAGGTGGTTAAGTAAGAAAAGCTATAAAAGAGGGTTATTTTAGGGAAAACTCTCATTAGAAAAGCATAATTGTTCACCCTGTGATTACTGCCTCATCTACATGATGTCATGATCTATGCAGTCCTGCTGAATGTTTAACAAATTTTTCGCCTTCCATGTACAGTTGAGTTCTAAGGAAGCTCATGCCTGTTCAACGGATAACAATACCTCAGCCACAAAGGATATGGATGATTTAGCTGAGTCTCCAATACTAACTCAACTAGAGGACTCTGATACTTATAGCACGGACATGTCAATGACCTCGGATAGTTATGATTCCTACACAGAAGAGATCAAAAATGAGGTAAAGCAAACAACATTTCCAGCGACTGTACACTGTATGATAAGAATGCTTTTAGCCAAACCAAATATGTATGTACTACAAGGATATACATTTGGAAAGACTTAAATGATTAGGCTCTGCAGATATTTGAAAAACTTTAATCAATGATGGTAATTATGGAGTTCAGATGATGAAATAAGATTTTACATTCTTGATTGCATGAAAAACTAATGGCATGATTGTTTATTGATTGCATGAATTTTGCTGCAGCCAAACCAAAAATTACTTGATGATATCAGAAAGATAAACAATAAGCTGAACAATATTGTACTTGAAGTGGATTCTGTCTCATCTTCTGCTTTTGGGGCCATGAATAAGACTATTGTAAGGTGTTCCTATAATCCGATAGCTTTCTCCAATGACATCACGAAACAATTTGCATCCACAATACCAGTATGTCCTTTCCTCTTCTTCTTGAAGATGTCTGATGAAATTGTCATCATATTCATACTCCTACTCACTAGATTATGGCCTTATTTATATATTGTGCAGCCAGGAGCTATTTCGATAGAGTTTCTTGTTCCCTCAGATTATCCCAATTCTCCTCCTCAGATCTTAGACAAGCAGCCAGCTGGATATAGGTGAGAAAAGCTTTAGCTCCTTTTTGTAAAAAAAAAAAGCCGTGCTTGATTGGAATGATGACAACGGGAATTTTTTAACAAATTAAACACATTGGTTATTCTGTTTCAGCAAAGAGGTTAAAGAAATGCTGAAGGAAGCAAAGTATAGGTTTTACAGCTTTGCTGAAGGCCTGAAGAAACTAAAAGAGTTGGCCGGTGCTTGGGATCACTGCGCTTGGTCAACTTTCTATGATTTTGCCCATAAGCAAGCAGAGCAAGGACTAACAATCAAAGAACAGATCAGCACACTTGCAACTAAGGAGCATTTTACGATTGTTTGATCAATCATGCGTGTAACAGCAGGATGGTGGATCAATCACTCTCAGTTACTCGATTATTACAAGTTGGGTTGGATACGATCTAGAATAAGCCTGTTACAATCCTACAAACTCCCAATTTAGTAACCAAATACTCGTAATTTGTTTTCCAGCCAAGCCTTTTTTACTTCTAATAATGGCTCTATATATTGTGCTTCCAATCATCGAATACATTTGAATTCTCTTATTAGTATTGCTACACAACTCTATCACATACATTTCAATTCTCTTATTAATATTGCTACACAACACTGTCACATACATTTCAGATCTCTTACTAATATTGCTACACAACTGACAACTCTACCATATACATTTCATACCTCTTATTAATATTGCTACACAACTCAACCACATACAATTCTCTTAGTAATATCGCTACACAACTCTACCAAATACTCAATTCTCTTATGATCTCGCCCACTCTTCAAATACATTTCAACACTCTAATATCACGAGTTCGAAATCATTGGTAAACAAAAATATGACCCTTTTTTCATTGTAAGTCCTCTAATTATACTAAACTTGCACTATTTTACATGGGTAAATTTTTCCCTTCAATTGCACTTAGTTTTTTTGGTGTATTCATCACCATTTAACACAACCAATATATTGAATCGTGTCTTGTAATCTGATAATCTCATCATAATAATTATTAGTCATCAATTCAATCACCCAAAAACCCTAGTCATTTCAACAAAATTTGCAATTTTTTTTAAAATATCAAAATTTCCAATTTTATTGAATTCTTGTTCATGTTAAAGTCGACATTCATACAAAAACATCAGATTCATTCATTCTTCAACATGAAATGTGCATGATTTGGGATCAAACAATTAATAAAATGACATGAATCCAACAAAATATGAATTGGGAAATGGAGAGAGAAAGAGATACCTCAAATCTTCATAGTTTTTGCTTCGAATTCGTGGCAATAAAACCCTCATCGCTGATGTTGAAGCGCTCCCGCCAATTCCCGTGGATTTGTTGAGCTTCCTCACATTCTAGAGAAAGACGACTTAAAAATAGAGTATGGAATACGGAGTACTTAAAATTGACCCATACCCGATTACGCGAAATACGATGAAATATTAACTCATATTAGACTACACGAACTTTAATAAAGTAGTAGTACAAACAACAAAGTACTTGACCCGATCTAGGTGATACCTAAAATAATTTTAAATAAGACCGTTTTATCATCATACAAAAGTGGTCTTAAGATACTATTTTAATAAGTTAATGCTTAATAGTTTAGGATACTTAAAATAATATTAAATAAGACTGTTTTATGATGTAGATAGGATATTCAATTTTTTTTTTTTTTCAGATATCCTAAAATTTTAATAAGTTATTGAAGTCTTGCTTAATAGTTTAGTGTTAATAATTTATTTATAAAATAACGAATATTTCAAATGTCCTGAAAATTTTAAAAGGTGATTCAAATTCGATCAAAAAAATTTCTAATGTCCAATCCATCCAAACTTCAAAATTTCTAATATCGGATATCCAATATCTCAAATGTCAACTGGATCAAGGATTAGATCAATTTTTTGTCCACACCTACGGACTAGAGGTGATCAAGATGGGGCCGACTTTGGGCGGGTTACGTCCTGTAGAATTTTATTTTTTTTGGACGGGCCATGGATAACCATTAATTACATTTTTAGTTGTTTTTTTTACCCAGTCCGAATTGACCCAAAAAATCCGCTAATTCGATTAATATTTACAGATTTGGAAAAAGCGGTTTCGACCCAAACCTTTGGCCTAACCCTATTCGACTTATTGGGCTGATTTTTTGCCTTTGGCCCATCCCAGCCCATAATCACCTCTACTATGGACCTACCACCTACCCAAATCACCCTAGTGAAAATTACTTGGAAAATGTGAATTCGTCCTTAATTTTGCACAAATATTACCTGAGTCCGAAAAGTATCCTTAAATATCGTATATATATATAGTTGGAACTCCTCAGTCTCCTCACTTCTCCCTATTTCCTCTACACAAAACCAGAGAAACTCACAACTTTCTCGTATTTTTTTCGCCGCAAATCAAAAACACAATGTTGTTGTAACCCACGACAATAATTTTGGTAAAACCCTCGTTAAAGCAGGTAATCATTTTTATATTCATATACTTAAATTATTGATTAGTTCATCAATAAAAATTGTATCTTTCTAAAGTATTAATTTTTTTGCAGTGTTATATATGGTTGAAGAAAAATCAATGGAGGTCAATGTTCAACCCAATGGATTGACTATCGAATTCCGTCAGAATGTGTTTAACATGTAAATACATTAATTATTTTCTTTTTCTTTAGAAAATACTTGATGTAAATTATTTAATTCATAGTTTTTATTGTAATTAATTATAAATTTCTTGAATGCAAGATTTTTAATTACTTTGTTTTTTTTTATTATTTAATTTTGGGTTTTGCCTTACAATTTTATTTTTGTTTAAGTTTTATGAATCTAGTTCAATTTTTTTTTTTTAATATTTTTGTAAAATACAGGTTCATGAAGAGAGTGATAGAGTTGGGCAAAAACCCTACTGACCCCGATTACAATAACCGACTTAGAAAAAGATCTCTCGATATCGAGGCGGGAATATATAAGCAAGCAAGAAACATGGTATGCTTGTTTTTACTACAATACATTTGTTGTATACAAGTCTCTTTGTTTTTACTCGACCTTATTTAATTTTTGTGAAAATTTTAATGTAAGATTATCATATTAAAGTATATGATTCTCATTGTGTATGTTCGTGAAGAGAGACTAATGGCATTCCCTTAGTTCGGAATTAATAGTCTTAGTAGTATTTATCTCATGGGATCGATAAATGTTAATTAATAATTATCCACGATACATGTATACAATATTCCTAAGTTGTCCAAACAAGCGATTAAAGTGACCAAATAACCAGATTTTTTTATGTATAAGGTTACATTAGTATGTGCACTCGTTAGTGAAAATTTAAGAAAGAATTGAGTATTTGTGCGTTTGTGTTGACTCAATGGGTGTTGACTTTTAAGTATTTCTCAAATTGACTTCCTGTTTCCATTATTTATTTATTATTTTTATTATGTAGAATGAATATCAGGCTATGATCCGGAGTAAGCTGGAAAGTTTAGAAAGAAAAAGCAAAGCACCCACATCAGGTAAGAGTATAAAATTAATTCACCCATCGCGTAATTAATTTAAATGTAATTTGGAGTGACTAAGATTATTCTTGTATAGAATACATGCATACACCCGTTGAATACAAGTTTTTGACGTGTTATGATAAGTTATGATATGTGGTTGTTAATCATATCATGGTCATATCCCATTTGACAAATAAAGTAGTCTAGTAATTGATACAGGTTTAATACCATACTAGATTTTGATTATAACAATTAAATTTCATCATCCAGAGAATCAATCGACGAGTAACGTGATTCAGACACGAGTAGTTCATTCCAATGAGTCTGCACAGCTAATCCACAATGCCAGTTCTTCTCTGCATTCGTTTCCAAGTACTTCACATCCGATGCAAGCATCACAGATGATGTCGATGCCTGCTGCAGTGTTAACAATACAACAAAGGAACACACCTATGCAATCGACAGGTTTACACCAGTTACAGCAAGGTAGAGTAATTGAGAGGCAGAATGTTCCTCAGAGAGACGCGCTCCAACATCCATCAGTGCAACATAGTAGGCCAATAATGAACGAAAGGAGGCTGAATATAGGAGGCTACCAACAACAATCTTCTCTGCATTCGTTTCCAAGTACTTCACATCCGATCCAAGCATCACAGATGATGTCGATGCCTGCTGCAGTGTCAACAATGCAACAAAGGAACACACCTATGCAATCGACAGGTTTACACCAGTTACAGCAAGGTAGAGTGATTGAGAGGCAGAATGTTCCTCAGAGAGACGCGCTCCAACATCCATCAATGCAACATAGTAGGCCAATAATGAACGAAAGGAGGCTGAATATAGGAGGCTACCAACAACAATCACGGCCTCTTATAAGTTCGATGGTGAAGCCACTGGAGCAGGGGACTAGCTTTCATAATACTAGTATACAGAAGTCCCACATGCCAAGTAGTCCTGTTGATGTACAAAAGTTTGGTGTTTGCCAGTCACAAACATCGCCTGCACAAACTCCTTCATGTGAGATATCAATGAACATGTTATCTTTCTTAGTATATATTTCATATATTTATTATTGTTAGTTGTAACTTTGTAGCTTATCTATCTCACAGTTGTGATCGAAACCTCAATTTATTTCATTCTTGATTCTACAGCATCCTTTCTTGATGCTGGAGCAGTTAATGCAGCTGATTGGAAGCTTCTCCTGATGGAGGTAAAGCCGTAAAGAATCTTAATATACTTGTGAATCATTTCAGATTTTCAGATTCCCTTTTATCATGGATGAGGGTGATTCCTTATCAATAACTACAGGGATATGGTGTTTCCAATGCAACCTATTTGTTCGATAAGTTTCCTTGACAAGTAGATATACATAAATAAGTTTCTAAGGAATGAAACTTGATTCTGTTGACAAAGAAAAAACAAGCTCTTTTGTTGAATTGAATAAACTTTTCAAAAGTTTCTTTAACATACATTATAGTAGCATGAATTTTCATTGAACACAAACCTTTAAATTTTTGTGTATGTATATATTACAGCATCGCCAAGCAAGGATGGATTACTTACCTGAACTAATTAGTATGCAAAAAAAAAGCAAAGGAAGATTGTGCAAAGGTATATTCAGCTATTAGTCAGTGCTGTTCTTGTTTGCTATATGTCATTGTTTCTTTATCTTTTCTCCAAAGTTGCTTAATCTTTGTGCCCGAAAGCAATGTTAACAACTGGACATAAGGTGTACTTTGTATGGTTTTGGTTTTTGTTGTTTTGATTAGTAGAGGCACTCTCGACTTTCCAATGCTTGTATCTGTAACTCTTTAATTTGTTGCAGGCGCAAGGTGTGATTCAACATGAAAAAACCAAAAACCTCAAGAATTGTGAACTAATGATCAGATTTCTACAGTTTTCTGAAAGTGAGCTTACTTGCATTCCTAAAGGAAGAATTTGTAAAACTTTGAGTACAATTACACATTTCTTCAACTGTATGAAGAACCAAGCACCAAAAGTCTCAAATGAACAGATTTCTGTTAACCAACTGCAAAATACTCCATTGGTACAGCATGCAGCCCTTGTTAGCAAAAATGTGTTTCCGCAATCACCATTTGATGCTCCGATTTCATCCCTTTATTGTCCTATTGCACCAAAGCAGATAGACATGCAAGCTGTGCTGAATAATGGCTCTCAGGGTACTGCGGAACAAAATTCTGTGAGTATATCATGCTTAGCAGTATAAGTGTTATCGATCACAAGTTGAGCTGAGCTTGATTAATCTTGAGCTCAACTGAACTTGAAAATCATTGAGCTCATAACTTTCTGCCTGCCATAGAAATATCTTACCTGTAAATTTTCTTCTGGCAATTTCCTTAGAATGGCATCTGAAAAACAACAATTTAGAAGTGCTTTATCACAGGACAAACTGAATTCTGACAAAGATTTCTTGGCTTGTTTCAGCCTCTTAATTTGAAGCGAAATTCAGAGCCAATGCAGCCATCAGATATGGATCGACCTCTGAAAAAACAGCAATTAAGGAAGCCAAAAAAGTTGCCAAAAGAGAAGGACTTTATGGACTCGATGTTTATACCCTCGACCAAACCCACAAGAGGCCGCCCAAGATCTACTAAACAGCCTCCGTTGCAGAAAAAGAATACATCACGTGTTTCAGATCCTAGAGCAATGTCACATAATATGCCCTCGATGGCTGCAGTTGATTCAGCTCCAACTCCAGTAACACCGTCTTCTGTACCTCAAGAAATCAGAGAGCCTACTCAGTCTGTTTCCCCTAAGGAGACTGAGGTGCAAGTTAAATTCGCTTTCATTGTAACATCATCCGGAACAATAACTTCCTCACCAGTTGATTCAGCTACAACTCCAATAACACCGTCTTCTGCACCTAAAGAAATAAGAGAGCTTGCTCAGTCTGTTTCTCCTAATGAGATTGGAGCAATAGAAGCTGCACGCGATACTGAGGTTCAAGATAAGTCAGCTTCCCTTGTAACATCAGGAACATTAACTACGCCTTTACCATCAGATGGTGCTGCAGAAAGCAGCCAGGCTCCACAATCTGCAAGGCTGCCTATTGATCGCTTAGTTCGTGCAGTATGTCTGTTTAAATATGACTCTAATTTATACTTTATCATTCAGAAAACTGGTCCATTAACTGATGGTTAACACATTTATATTGCCTTTCAGGTTCAGAGAGTATCTAAAGATACTCTGAAGAGAGCCGTAAATGATATGTTTTCAGCCATCAACGATATGGACTGGTTACCCGAGTATGCAAGTTATGATGATGATGAATCTAATCCATTTATGGATGATGATGAAGAATATGATCCTTTAATGGGTTATGTTATTGAATACTGAAACGTGACATCGATGCATCAGGCAGGGATAATCATCGACCTAATAAAATGGTGTGTTATCAACTGTACGTAGTATGGTCGCTTGGAGATGGCTTTTACTCATAGTCGTCCACACTCCACCCCATCATAAGCTATTTACAAAACCGTGTTTGGAATTTGTATGCTACATTATCTTAACCTCCCACAATTGACGTTATGACATGATTTAGCTAGCTGTACTGTGTTGTTTCTATCAATTTATTAGTACAGATTCAATATCAAGTAAAGGAATAAAGGATGTATTGAAAATCTCCAATCATAAACATTTTAGGAATTATTAGTTCAGTTCAAATTACATTCTTGTGAAGCATATTTAATACCGCTTTTCTATGCATAAATGTGTGTTTATGTTGCTTCCTGGTTTCTTGATTCTACCTACCGAGTTCTGCCCTCTTGCAACACGATTGTTTTTTCCCCTGTAGTTTAGATTGCAGAGGTCAGAATTAAGCTAATGCGCGATAGTTCAATGAAGGAGATCGAACTTGATTTTTTCTCAACAACGAGTAACAACACTATAATCTTCCAATAATCTACCATATCCATTGCTGCAGCGATTCCAACTTCAAAATCAATAGAAGCCTCATTTCAATATCTTTTCCCCTTTTTCCACATTTATTTCATCATACCCAAAAACAATTTGTACTTCTCAACTGAAATCCAGTTAGAGCTTTAAGCACGAAAGAGCAACAATTCATAGCAAAGCTTTGATTCAATTCAAACGCTCATCATTTCTGAATCAAGATCTTGTTTGGAATTGAATTTACAAGGATTTACTTTCCATAACTCGAACCCAAATTATAAGCAAACCCTGTTTGGCTAAGGTTCTGTTTTCACCTCCTCAAAGCTTTCCCAGAAGTCAGCCAAACAGAGTTAAAAGCCAAATAAAATAAAATAATAAGAACAAGGGGAATAAAGAATGTAAATCGATTTCTATTGGATCTTCCAATCCGAGGCCATGCCCCTTTTTACTCTCAAGACAAAATTTTCTTTAACATTATCTAATGACTAGTCAGACTACTGTCAATAACTCATACTAGTATACAAGAGAACTGTTACCGGGAGAAATCACATTGCCCATATAACTTAACTGTAATATCTCTTCAAATCACGACCGAGACCTCAGCTCACAGCATACATCTGTGGAGAAGACTATATCAGGGTGAAAGGACTCAAAATCAGATGAAAGATCCAAACAATATGTAATCCTGAAGGCTTACAAAAATGTGTTTATCCGGTGTTAGAGGCAGTGGCTGCAGAGGCAACAGATGCAACTAAACCAATTGACTACAGTCAGCTCCAGCAGCAATAAAGAGATAAATCTTAACATTCGTCATAGGGGGAGAGAGAAAGTACAGGTCTTTCATTATACACCAGCATTGACTGGAGTGGAATGTCTTAAACTCTCACAGCCCGGGCAATTATGCAAACTTTCATGAATATAAATGTCACAATCAATGCAGAAATACTTTTTGCATTTTGGGCATTTAACACAGTAAATGGATCCAGTCCCTGCATGAACCAAATAAATTTGTAAGAAGATCAATAAATAAAAATCATCTCACTAATAAAAAAATGCTTTTGTCTCAAGAACAGAGCAACAAACAGCTAAAGCAAGACGACAAGCTTACTGACTGCAAAAGGATTTCCCGCCTTTTTAATTCCAATGTCATATATACTGACAAGTGAAATGTACCATTACTATCAGATACTCTATTAGTAAGCTAACTCCACCACAGGCCCCCCATCTTACACCGATTTCTTACTAGTGATAGTGATATTAAGTGTTTTACTGTTTTCCCTGCCTACTGAAAGATAGTGCTTACTCCCTCCGTATTTTATTACTTGCTCCATTTCCTTTTATTGGAAACTTTTAATAATATTTTACTATTTTCTTCCCCACTAGTAATAACATTTTACTATGTTTTTTGGAAACTTTTAATAAAATTTTACTATTTACTCCCCACTAGCTTACTTTCTACTATTCCTCCTAAAACTAGATAACAAGTAATATGCAAGTAATAAAATACGGAGGGACTTATAAGCAAGACTAGATAACAACTTAGTAACTTACAAGCAACTTCAGTATTAGATAAATCAGAGGAAAGTTCAGGTGGACAGCTTGACAAGACTTTAAGCTGCCAGAGCACTTGCTATCAATCAGCTGAAGATCCCAAATCAAAAGTACTTACACACTTTTAGACCTTCAAATTTGCATCTAGCCAATAAGATTCCTCTCGAACGGAAAATATTGTCAGATATTTCACTCAGATCAACACCATTTACTCCGGACTCAAATCACAAATCATCTCTTATTTCCCAGAAACACAGCTTCAGTTGATCACAGTGATGCATTCAATTTTCAACCCCTGGAAGAAGTCATGCAAATGCATCTGGCAACCAAATCCGATAACATAACTCTATCAACGACATACCTTCCCCACCCCCTCCGCCCAAGTCCCACAGCAGTAGGGCCTTTATGCTCCTACTCTATATCAATCCCAAATGGTTGAAAAAGTGTCAGTTATTGTTCCTTTATCTTTCACTTAGTTCAGTTAACAAGAAAATTATCAAAATACTCCCTCCATGGTAACATATTCTATTTTGGGTGTCACCTTTCTAAGGTTACATTTCTTAAATTTCCTAAAATAGAATACTAACTTTACACTTTTATCCCCATATATTCACTCCCAATACATTTACCATAATATAACCTACTTTCAATGTAACTATTCCCATTTACCAAAACATTTGCATATTTTCAAAGCAACTATTTCCATTTATCAAAACATTTATCTACTCCCAAATCAAATATTTCCATATCAAAATATTTACCTATTCCCTAAACAAATATTTATCGAAACATTTATCTACTCCCAAAGTCTTTTTCTGATTACCCATGTAAAAAACCAAACGTAACCATAGAAAAGTGACGGAAGGAATACATGTCTCTAGACTTTGAGGCTTTCACATCTGTTTATAATACACAAGCAATACTCAATTTTTTGGCACAGTCAACCATTCATAGCATTTAGATTGAGCAAAAGAAGGGGTTGAGAAAATTTTGAATCAGGATCCAGCCTCACCATTTATCAGGGCTATTATAAGAAACAAGTAATTTGTGACAGAAAGGGAAGGGATAAATTGCCAAAATAATTCTTAAATTTCATACTGATTAATATAAATTAGAATAACAAGGCTAATAAGTAGCCATCTACAATATTCCAGGAAATTTTAACAATTAGATGCTAGACCAGTTTGCAATGACTTCTTTTCCGAAAAAGTTAGATTCACCTTGTTTCCAAAATTCACCTCACAATGATCTGATGGTACTAGAATTCTACCAATGATCTGATGGTCCACCAGATCCTAGTCCACAGGACATGAGGACATATGATATGGGTTTTCCCTCCATTTCTAATTGTTACTCATTTTCTCCATCTGCTCAATGTGAGAGCAGTTTGTGTACAATATAAGATCTTTATATTACAAACGTTATAGAGATTCCCACCTAAACCAATAGATTCAGGGACTTAACTGAACTAAGTATTCACGCTGGAAGATGGCTACCTGCTGAAAGGGACACATATTAAATTAAATCATTTAATTAGTTTACCAACTTCATAGTGGCCCTATGCTTTTAAAACCATGGTATAGCATAGTCAGGTGAGAGTCTGTTATTGTGAGCACGACCTCTCAAGCTATTGAAGTTGTAGATGTTATGCAGGACTGGACCTAGAAAAATAGCCAAATGTCCTAACAGTTTGCTTTCTAAGATCATTAAGAATAGAGTTTCCTAACCGTTAAGATCACTAACTTACTGGCATTCACAAGGCACCTAAATTGTTCTGGAACTTTGTTAAACATTCTCTAGGCAGTGCTTCAAGGCTCTTTTCTCGCCCTTTTTCTATGCATATTTAAATATACTGGATCTTAGAGGGACAAACATGCAATGAGCCAGATTGTGGGTATTGTGAACTCCGCACTGCTTCAGCATTAGCACTTATGTGATGGACAAATGATAGACATCACATAAGGCATAACACTATCAATACACTAGCTGACTAGCACCATACTCTCACTCTTTTTTATTGCAGAAAGAATATTCAGAAAAAAAAAAAAAAAAAAAAGATTAGGCCAATACATTCCAAGCTAAATAATGACTAGTGTTTTGCCGTTCTATAATGAATGTAACAGTAGAAGCAAAATAATGAATAATTACCCAAACCTACCTCTTAAATCGTGATGCAGTAAGCATTCTGGGAGAAACTATCCTAGGAAACATACAGTAAGAAAATAATAATAATAAAAAGATAAATACTCTGTAAAATAAAATAATCATTGTCTCATTGCCAGACTAAATATCCAAGTGTGTTTCTTCCAACAGACCAATAAGACGTAGGACTCACAGAAACAGATATCTAAATAGCTCTTAGAGTTTTGACTTTAAAAAAAGGTATAAAAGAAGAATTTAGTAAGTCAGTGTTTTACTGTGTCTTTTAGAGGTAAAGATAATGTTTTAGGAAGCTAAAAATATATCTTTTGGGGTGTAGGTAGAAATTTGATCCTTTCTTTTTCTAATAATACAAAAGCTGATTGTATGGATTGGAAAAATGCAAAGACAAACTAATTATACTACGTACACAACACTTTTCTGACAACTGATATCTTACAGCTAAATAAAATTACAACAGTAAGTAGCTACTATGACAACTAACAGCTATATGTTTTGATCATTCAGTTTCCAAATAAGGCCATAGTCAAGATAGATCATTCAGTTTTCATAAGCAACAATCACATAAATATTCATCAAAAGCAATGTCTATGGCAGGAAAATCAATATAAGTCTAGCTCCCGAATCCTACCACATGCGTAACCTAGCAAGATCTGGTTGTACACTATAGCAGGTCATGTCACAAATCACAAAGCCACTAAGACAAGTAATCGCCCTTTTGCTCTCTGAAATACAACGTAAAAAAATCAACTAGACAGGTGATCACACTGAGTCACTAACCAGACAGATTATATGATTATATTACACCAGCCAATCAAACCAAAGGTTGCATTTAAGAAAGAGGGGAAATCTCAGTCAGACAACATAATAGCTACGTATAATAAACCAACTGAAATCCTAACTTCTTTTGTATGATGCTTACCAGGATTTGTCAGACTCTGCATGCATCCAAAACATGTTTCGAGTGATTTCTGTCCCGCAATATTCCCATTTGAAAAAGACACCTCATCAAAGGGTGTTATTGGGAAGAGATGATGATATGACCTTGCTAAATGGGGAGAAGAAACAAGTGTTAGCCCACATATGCGACATTCTGTGGGCAGCTCACAAACACGAGCCTTGCATCTAGGACAGGTGTATCCAGCACCAACCTTAGCCTCCTTATGACATACACATATTGAGACCACACCTTCCGCCGCTCTTTGTGGAAATCCCATCTTGATCAAGTTAGCAGTTGCATATTCAGCAATAGCTGGAGGAGGTGGTGCATGCTCCAGCAACAACTCTTTCAGATGGAACTACAAGGAGGGAAAACTAATTCAGAGAATAGTACATACATTTTAGAAGAGTATATTATACAATCATCAGCACAAATATCTTCACCATTTCGGCACACAGATAGGATCAATTTCATATCATACAAACTTTCAGTAGTACAACTCACCTCATCCAAAGCAATAGCATATGATCCACCTGTTTCCTGGCATATATGTTTGCAAATAAACATCTCTGCAGAAAGACCTACTATTGAACACCTAATCTTCGACTTTTTGCATTTCTGAATAGTCTCCATTATGTCACCTGGATCACAGGTACTAAGAGCCGAATACAAAATAAGAACTTCGCGATGACCATATGATGGAATTTGATTTAAGCATTCATGAACAAGTTCTAGGGCGTTCTGTAAAGACGCATCCCCTGAACACTCCAACTTCTTCATCAAAGCCATAATATGAGACTCTGGGCTACCACCCATATCCGTTAAGCAATGAGCAATGCCATCTTTAATCCCCACAAGACCAATTTGACTAAGTGGATTCTGGTCAAAAAACTCTCTTATGAAAGCCTCCACATGTTTGGCAACAACTGCCATTCTGCTTGGTTTGAAATCCATCTCTGCAGCTGCCTACAGAGAAGGATTCAAGGTTTTAGACTGAGAATAGAAATATCAGAATAATACACCAATAATGACTGAATGAGTAGCTACTCAAAAAACAATCTTTTCGATATTTCAAGCCCTCACTACACTGAATAGTAATCCAAGCATTATCATAATTTTCCCAGTCATGCACTTATCCAACTTAAGACTAGTGCAAATCAAATCTTTAAACTCATGATCAGCAACTCAAGGCTTAAAGCATAAGCTATGTACTTATGGCTAGCAGTGATGATTGAATTTTAGTTATAAAGAGAAGACTACATGGTAGGAAATTCATTACCCTGGAGAAATCCATGACAACATAGATATATCGAATAAGGCCTTTCTGAATTCGAGCAGAAGTTGAGGTAGAAGAGATGGAACGGATACGTCGGCGGTATTGAGCGTGGTACATGGACTTATTATCAATTGGACGAAGTAGCCCAGACTCGTCTTCTTGCAAAGACTCCCATGATCTCTCATCAGTGTAGGCTCTCTCCCAAGCAGACATATCATTATCCTCATCTTCATCATCCTCGTCTTCGTCTCGGCCAAGCCGTTTTCCTCTAGTATTGCTAACCTCCCTATGTTCAATGCTGCTCATTATCTAAAATCTAAAGACTGAAATATTTTCAAAATCAGGTACTTTTATACAAATCATAGTTCCATAACAGGGAGAAAAATTCCATTTTCATAGTTCCATCCTAACATTTAAGGGTTCTGCAACTCATTAGCAACCAAATTAGATTCAATTATCAAATTATATTCTTGTGGCTTAAGAATTTAAAAAGCAAAATTCTAGCAATGAAATTTTTCGTTATAATATTTGAGTAATTACAACCAATAGTTCAATAATCAACCTTAGAAAAACCCTAAATTGACTATAATCTAGCAATTAAATTCTCATTATAATCTTTCAGAAATTATAACCAATGTTTCAATAATCCCCCAATAGAAGAACCCTAAATTGAGTAAATTGTAAAATTGATATTCGATGATTGAAAAAAAACAGCTTTACCTCAGAAGCAGCGTCAATGGAGGAAAGAGAAGGAGAGTACCGTGACCGCAGAGTACACATGAAAAAAGTTCCAAAGCGGGGAAAGTTGTTCAATTTCAAAGAACACATGTCGAGTGAGATTGAGAATAGCTCAAGTGGTTAGATCTTCTCTCCCAATTTCAGGAAATTCTAGGATTGATTCTCATCCCTGCTCCCTTGAAGCTCTCTAAACACCCAGAAAAACAAACGCATCTCGCAATGGGTCACATCTGGAACGTATCGAGTTAAGATATGATAATAGGTACCCAACTTTCAACAAATAAAGGAAGTGAGTAAACTTTTTTTCTAATCACATGGGTGCTCTTGTTTAACCTCGTTTGTGTACCGTTAAAAGATTAAAAAAAAAAATTTAAAACGACACACGGAGTATTACTATAACTTAGCGCTAAAAAAACCCTTTCTAATAAAGTAATGAAGACTCTTAAAACCAAAAAATTAATAAAAAAAAAAGAAACAACAAAACCTCTTGCAAAGCTTATATGACAAATTGGGAAATGGAAAAAAGGGGATTAAAGGTCTTGCAAATCAAGTGACAAGGATGAATGTCGGCAGCCAACATGTGAGTATCTTAATTTATTTGAGAATTTCCTATCAAATTTACACTTCAATTATGTGCTTTATTTACGAAAGGTTTTAGTGATTTATTGGATGTAATATTGAATTATGATCTTGAATTAGGATTTTTTTAAGTCTACTTCTGAATATATCACTTGAATTACATGTATGTTAGAAGGATTTGAATTGGTTGATGAAAATTGGGTTAGGGTATATATTTTCTTGTTTTCCCTGTTTCAACAACTCTATTTTTATTTATGTCCATTGCTACTTGTTACACTTGGTATGTTTGTGAAATTGCTAGATTGCATTAGTACTTATATTGCATGTTAGTTAAAAAAGAATTGTTATTTGCCTTAGTCAGTGTTCTTTCATGTATGTGGAGTATTAATACAGTTGTTTTAATTTACATGATACAGAGTTACTACTTACTAGACCCTAAACCTTGTATTGTTATACACCATAGATGATCATGGCGTGAAGGGGAGAGTGGGTTAATATATGAAGGTGGTTTGATTAACATGTGTTAGGATAATCTGGACACATCGTATGTTAGATCTGTTATAGCAGGTTTGGGGTATAATAATGTCATAAAGCTGCATTATTTAGACCCAAAGAGAACTATGAAAGATGGGATTATATTTTTAGAGTACAACAACACTTCTTTTGCTCGTTTTGTAAGTCTTGTTCTTGAATATTGATTGGTTCATATATATTGTGAACATGATGTTGCAACCACCCAGGAGACTCAATTAGAATATGATCTTAACAAAGAGATTAATTTGATTGGAGAAACGAGATCATTTTTTAGTATGTTAACTGGTGACGATGATGCTATGTATGAAAGGGGTGATTATGCACTTCAAGAGTCACCAATTGGTGATGTATTTGAGATGGGGGTAGTCAATCACTACTAGAAATAGGCCAAATTCCGACGGACAGTTTCCAACAGACACGTATTTCCGTCAGAAAAAACAGAAATTCCAACGGATTTTTATTCCGTAGGAAATTTCCGACGGAAAATAAATCAGTAGGAAAATATAAGCTTTCCGACAGAATATTCCGTCGGAAGCTTTCGGAACATTAAACTTCCTGCGGAATATTCCGTCGGAACATTTATTTTCCGACGAAATATATACTTATTCCGACGGATTTTGGCCTTTAATTAAAATAAAAAAAATAATAAAAAAAACAACCATAAAAACCCGGAGCCCTAATCCCCCTCCCCTTTCATTTCTCTTTCCGCCTCTCTCTTCCTCTTCCTCTTCCTCTTCCTCTTCCTCTCTAATCTCCTCTCCTCCTTCATTCTCTTTCTCTCTCCTGTCATCTTCTCTTCTACAACAACAACAACAACAATCAACGGTCCGTCGTCCATCCATCGTCAACAACAACAATCAACATCAACGGCCGTCCAGCCATCGTCAACAATAATAAACAAAATTAACTCCCTTTCAAGGTTTTTGTTTTTGTAGATCTTTTAATTTAGGTTTGAGTGTAATTTTGTATGTAATTGTAATTGTGTAATTATATATTTCTTTTGATTTTCGTTGTTTAATTTTCGGTTTTTTGAATTTTCTGGATTTTTTTTAATTATATTGTGTTAATATAATTTTTTTTATTTGGTTTTTTTTCAGTCGTTTAATTTTTGATTTTCGTTGTTTAATTTTCAGATTAATTCGGTTTTTTTTGCGTTTATTTGGGTGAATTCGGTTTTATTTGGATTTTTTGGGTTAATTCGGTATTTTTGTTGCGTTTTTTTTGGGTGGTGGTGTGGTGTGGTGTAGTGGTGTCGGTGGTGGTGGGGTGGGGTGGGGGTGATGGGTTACGGGGTGGCGGTGGTATTAGGGGTAGGTGGGTTTGGGTTGTGGGCAGTGGGTAGGGGTAGGTGGGGCTGTTTTGTAGGGTATGGGTGGTGTGGGGTGGGTGGTGGTTTGGGTGTATGGGGGGTTCTGTGTGGGGGGGGGGGGGTGGGTGGTGGTCCGGGTCTGTGGGGTGGGTGGTGTGGGTTGGGAAAATGGGTTGGACGTGGTGGTGGTGGGTGGTGTAGGCTGGTGGCGGGGGTGGGGCTGCTTTTTTTTTTTTATTGACTTTTCCGACGAAAATTTCCGTCGGAAGCTAAGCTTCTTCCTACGAAATATGATCTGTCATAAGTTTGCGACGGACTTTCCATTTAAGTCAAATTTGACTCCGACAGGATAAAATCCGTCGGAAATTCCGTCGGTTTGGACATTTCCGACGGAAAACAGTGAAATTCTTACAAAATGTAATGCGACGGTGCGTTCCGATGGAATTTCAGGGTTTTCCGAGGGATTTTTTCCGTCGTTGATAAGATGTTTTCTAGTAGTGAATCTTTGTCATGATGGAATAGATTATGATGAGGAAGGTAGTGATATGGATGATGAGGAGATTGTGACAGCTAGAGAAAAAATGAAGGAAGATGAAAAAAAGAGAAAGAGAGAGCGCTTCAAGAAGAATTGGCACAATTGAATAGAGTTTCCGAGAGTAAAGGTGTGCAAGCTACAGGAATGGATAGTGACTATGACTACTCAAGTGCGTTAGAAAGCTCTGGGGAATCTAGTGATGAGGAAGACCATGGTTATTTGGTAAGTGCACCAAAACAGAAGCCTGCTAGACTAAATAACAATAGCTACAAGGTTGGTACAATACCACAAGAGACTGCATTTTATGTAGGTCAAGAGTTTGATAATGCTACTCAATAAAATCAGGCAATCACAGATTATTGTGTCAACCATGGGAGAGATGTGAAATTTAAAAGGAATGACAAGAACAGATTGCATGCTGCATGTAAAGTAGAAGGTTATCCGTGGAGAATTTGGGCGTCTTGGCAGGGAAAAAGAGGACAATCCATGTCAAAACTCATGTTCCTAATCACGCATGTGGTTGGACATCCAAAGTGAGAAAAATCTCTTCTATCTGGGTTGCTAATCATTACATAAAAAAAAGTTTAAGATTAATCCATATATGAAATTACGAGAAATTATAGAACTATTTGGCATGATTGGGGTATTAAAGTGTCGTTGTGGTTAGCTGTTAGAGCAAGAAGAGAAGGTCAATCATTGATCCTTGGTGAATTTAGGGAGCAATTTGGGTTATTGAATAGGTATGCATTAGAAATATAAAAGGCGAACCGTAATAATTCGGTTGTTTTTAAGTTGAATGGTGGGGTCTTTGAGGGAATGCATGTTTCTTTTGAAGCATTGAGGAAAAGGTTCCTAGCTGGTTGTAGACCCTTTATATCACTTGATGGTTGCTTCTTGAAAGGTCCATTTGGAGGCCAATTACTTGTTGCGGTGGGAAGGGATGGGAACAATAAAAAGTTTCCAATAGCATGGGCTGTTGTTGAAGTAGAAAGTGGTGATAGGTGGTCTTAGTTTATGGATTTACTTGCCCATGATTAAGACTTAGGTGCAGTGGATGGGGCTGGTTACACCATTATGTCAGATCAACAAAAAGGCTAAATCAAGGTTGTTAGTGAGGTATGGCCAATGGCTGAGGTTAGGTGTTGTGCGCGACATGTGTATTGCAACTTCAGAGATAAATGTGGTGGAGGCCAAGAATACAGAAGGTGGTTTTGGGCGATAGCAAAATGCACTACAGAAAATGCTTTCAATGCCAAAATTGAAGAATTCAAAAGCATTTCACAAGCAGCAGCCAATGACTTGTTGCATAGGAACTACCAAAAATGGTGTAGGGCTTTTTATATACATCACAATCCAGTTGTGACAACATTGATAATAATATGAGTGAGGTTTTTAATGCTTACATCTTAAACTCAAGGCATAAACCTATCATAACTATTCTTGAGGATATTAGAGAAAGTCTCATGGAAAGACTTCATAAAAAAATGAACGTGGTAGTTTTTTTTAGGAAAAATTGCATTAAATAATACGACCTTTGCTCCATCCGTTAAAAAAAAGTCCACTTTTTGTTTATTTCAGAATAATACGACCTTTGGGGGGTGTCCGCTTTAAACAAGTTATGACCGGTTATTAACTTGATTAACAGGTTATATGGACACGTGTCATTGTTTGATTGGTTTGAAAATTTTATTTGTTTTTTAAATTTTTTTAATGTTTTTAATTTTTAAAAGATTATTAATTGTTTTTTTTTTAAAAAAAAAAAAGAAAAGGAAAAAAATAACCCCAACCCAACCCCCACCTCCCCCTCCGGCAGCCCCCTCTCCCCACCTCCCACTACCAAAACCTCCCTCCCCGCAACAGCCCCCGGCGACGCACCTTCACTGCTGGCATCCCCTCCCTTTCCCCCTTATATCCCGTCGCGACCACCCATCGCCACCCCAACCAAACCCAGACCCCGGAACCACCACTCACATCGCCACCCAAACCCGAAACCACCACTCCCACCTCCACCTTGACCCGAAACCACCACCCCCACCCAACCAGACCCTCATCCTATCCTAAAAAACCCCACCTTCGAAAACCAAACAATCCCCAACCTCTAGTGAGGGTGGTTGCGGTTCAAGTCGGGGTTAGGGTTTCGGGTTTTGGTGGGTGAGGGTGGTTTCGGTTGAGATCTAGGAGCCGGTGTAGACTTAATGCGGTTTCGGTGGTGTGGGTTGGGGTAGAGGAGGGGTTTCGAGGGGAGGGAAGGGGGTTACGAGGAAGGTGGTGGCGGTTTTATTCGGCGGTGTGGGCTGGGAAGGGAGGCGACTTCAGCGGTGCGACAGGGGAGGGGGGTGGTTAAGTGGGTGGACTGGGAGCCAGAGGTTGGGGCTGGGAAGGGGAGGGTCGCTGGGGAAGGGTAAAGGTCGCCGGGGAAGGGGAAGGGGAAGGGGAAGGGGAAAGGGTGGCTGGTGGTGGAGGTGGGTATTTTATTTTTTTTAAGATTTTAATTATTAATTAACCATAATTAAAATTTTAATTAAGTGTTAATTAGATTATTAAACGAATTTATTGAAAATTTTAATCGGTTATTCAGGTT